TGCGTGTGTGGTTGTGTGTGTGCGACTGTGCGTGTGCGCGCGCACGCAAGCGAAGTGTGTGTACGAAGGGGCGTGTGCTCGGCGAACAGAACCCCGAGTTCTGCGAATGTGCGCCGGCGGTGGGGAGACGGGGGAACCGCGCCGCACACGATCGAATTCGCATCGACCGTGCGATGAAGCCGACGGCACAGTCCCACAGCGGGCGCCGTAGGCGGCACTACCTCAGTGCCTCTCTGCCGCCGCTGAGCTCACCTACCAACTCAAACTGCCGAGACCCTTCCCCCCCCCCTCCTCTCACTCCACTTCCCTTTCTCTCTTCCATCCAAAGTCCTGCCCCCGCTTTCCTGGTTTATGTCGTGTGCTTTCCCGGTTTAGCTTTGTCTTCCTCTCTTCACACTGTCCTAGCTGCTATCTACCACGAATGGTGGAGGAAAGAGCGTCTGTTGGTGTTTTAGGTTTCTTTCTTGTACGGTCTCTATTGAGCTCTCTGTTGTATATGTTTTTTTTCCTCGTCCCGATCGCCCGCGGTTCCAGACTGTGTAGGCCTAAGGCAAGCAATACACGGGTTATTGAGGTAATATTATTACCGTTCTACTGGCGTTGCCGTCAGCACCTTTTATCCCGCTTTTTTTTATTATTATTCGGTGTTTTTGGTCCTTTTCGCTCTATCGTCTAAACTTACCGTAATGCTTTCGTTTATTTTTTATTTTTTTTACAAGTAGCAGATTCTTTTTTTTAGGAAGCAGACGGCAACTCTTCTCGTGGAGTCGAGACAAAGCACGATGCTGGCAACATTGCCGTTCTTGAGTGGCACCAAGCCTAGAGAAGCACGTCTGAGTTTCTGACGTTTTCTCGTTGTTTTTCTACAGTTTGGCCTAACGGGGTCGTCGATTAATATGTGTTGTCTGAGAATAAAGTATTCCCATCATTAGTGTAGTAAAAATGGGATTCACTATTCTTTCTTTATACTGCCTTATTTATTTATTGCTTTTTAGTTTACCTATCACCTTCTTTTTCTCTCTCGCTCTCTTTTTCTCTTTCTCTCCCTTTATCTTTTTACTCAGTGCACTGTTTTCTTTCTTTACGCGAAAGAAACAAAAGCAAAAAAAAAAAAAAACACGCAAAAATATTACATTTTCTAAATAACGCGTGCGTTGGCTTTCCCTCATTATACCTCCTTATGTGGAGGAGTACCCTTCTCAGGGGCAACCTCGTGGGGCACCGAGTTTTTTGTGTTGCGGGGTGTTTCGCAGGGCACTGCTTTATCTGTAAAGTTTCGTACAAACAAATGTATTTAGCTGTGAGTTATGATTCACTTGTAAGGCCTTGTATAATAAATTACTTGACAAAAAAAAAAGATTCTTTTCTGTGAAAACAACATGCACAACTTGAGGAAACATAAATGGCGCTCTGAAAATGACATGTCTAAACAAGGTGTAAAATGCATATTATTTTTATAATAAAAAGAGGCGTGTTTCAAAAACAGACAATAGTTCCATTTTTTTTTCATCTGTCTTTTTGCTAGAAGCATGTAATATGAATTTCTTTAACATCGTTTTTTTATTTATTTTTAACTATTATTGACGTTAAACAACATGCTACAGAGAGGTCCATATTATTGAAAGAAGTAATTTTACTAGAAAGAGTCAATAATTCATACTCGTTAATTGTCAAACAATCAACTATTTAAAAAAAACTTGATTAAGCTAAAAGTGAACGCATCTTCGCGAAAAATGTTGTTGGTTGCCTGCCCATGAATAGGATAAGCACAGTCCACACTGAAAACTATATATATAAAGGCAATTCAATTTTCGACACACTCTTTCTTTCTAAATAAACCTTCTTTTTTTCGACAGATTCGTTACGTTAACAAATGCGTGTACGGTCACACAGGAATTTCCGGAGTCGCTCGCATGCTCGTAACCACAAGGCCAAACATTCGGACCAAGTATACCTCCTGCGTGATTCACGGCCTTACGTGTTTCTTTGGTCACGCACGCACGCACTTCAGAGCTCAAGCGACGTGGGGCAAACACCACTGAAGCTACAGCACACTGTGCCTTTTTTTCCAGTGAGCTTCGACCGCGTGCGTACATCTTCTCCCCTAATATTGCGTTCCGCAATCGCCATTTTTTTATGTGTGTGTGTGGGGGGGGGGGGGGGGGGGGGGGGTATATTTTCCAGCACGGCCAACATTGTCAACACAAATCGATGTGCATATTTTGCCCATTTTTACCTTTGTTTTTTGAGTATCGGTAGTATGGGGCATAAAACGCAATGAGAATCGATACAACGGCTCGACCTTAATGCGTTCTGGCAGGCAGAAGCTTGTTAGGCTACCCTTCATTTGTAGTTTGATGACGAACCCCCCAGATGGCACTCGTTACTCGAAAAAGATAATATAAGAGTTCGTAGAAGAAACAAAATTATAAGATTAAAATTAAAAATATTAGAAGAATGGTGGATGAAATCTGCGGACAGATAGAGGTTATGTTCGATTAAATTGACTAAACATTACTTAATCTGGAGCTAAAATACTATTTTGGCTAGGTGGCGCAAGTCACCGCCTGGTTCAAAGGGAACAGCCACTATGCAAAAAGTATGCATCCATCCATTCATCCATCTGTAGTCAACATATCGAGAAGCGTTCTTTGCTGACTAATTGATATTTACATAATTTGCGGAGAGATATTTACAAACGGGGGAGTCCGAGATAATATCTGAGGTAGGCGAGCCGAACCTGAGGTTGCAACTAGGCGTGCTCCATCGGAGCTTGTGTCGCGTATCCGCCGCTCGTGGTGCGTGGCTCCTGCCTCGTTCACTCTGCGTGCGTTGGTGCACCTTGCCCTACCAAGTAGGAGGCGTCTCCCGCTTGTTCACTGCGCCTCCATTTAGATTCATTCAAAAGAGACGTATACATCCCGCCCTCCTAATCCCATTTTGGGACTATTGTATCGGTACGTACGAAACGCAGCTCACTCCAAGAACTCCTACCCCTTTCCCAACGGCAAGAGGATTACTCCCCTCACGCGGAAGACACCTGTCCTTCTGCGTGCGTAATGAACACACAATGCCCTCCCTTCCTCCCTTCTTTCCCCTCCCCCAACCTACCCTCCAAATATCGATCCTTTGTTTCAAATTAGAATTTCCCATTATCGCGTGACCGGATATCAACCCCATTTTTTTAAATTTTATTTTATTCCCAATTTTCGAATCGAAAAGGACAGCTGCAATTCCGCGTCAGACAGGACGGCTCTCCGGACTAACATACTTTTCTCAGCAGAGGGAATTAAGATAACGGCATAGCATAAAAACTTATCCTCCTTTTTTTTTTTTTTTTTTTCCAAATTAGGAAGGATGGTGGCCAGCTTTCGAGGATCTCACTCTTCTCGCGTTTCCGGGCTTTTCCCAGTTTCTCCCGACTAATTGCGACGTCAGCCGAGGTCTCCTCCTTACGGCCGCTCGTTTCGCCTTCGTGGCGCGCTCGCTTCCTTCGCTCGGAATTAGGCCTAGAGCTAGATTCGAGAAGACAGCGATAAAATGCGCGGCGCCGCGAAGCCAACGCGTGCATGGTGACGCGGACATAATGCGTCTAACGTCGTTAGGTAGCGACTCTCGGTCCCTTCTTTAGATTCGCGTTGGAGATAGTTCTCCCGGGACTTTTAGCGAGGTTACCGGACCATCGGCATGGAGAGACCCGTCGGGTGCCCCCATTTCCGGTTTTCTGATGGCGCCCCCTAGATTAAGCGCGTTCCATTTCCGGTCAACGTTGCTCTGGTTGTAAACAAAATGTTGTTCGGTTTATTTATGAGCACGCTATTATTAATATCCTAATTCAAACATTCATTTATTTATTCCTCAATGTATTGTGTATTACCTTACCAAACGACTGCTGGAATGTTTTCTTCGCAAAATAAAATTCAGTTGTTATTCGATCAGAAAAACCTCGGACGCAAAAGCGTTCAGGAGATCGTGTCGCGAAAAATTCTGGCGTCGGCGTCCGCGGGACCGAAAATCCCATAATGCAGTAATGCAACCTGTGGAGCCACATTTGTCACACGTGACGCCACACGAGGCTGCTCGCGTTGCATTATGGGATATGCCCGCTAAATATGGCGGAAACATTTTTCGACAAACTTAGCAGAAACTTTTTCCGCCAAATTCAACGGGAAATTTCCCCGCCAATTTAGGGGGGAAATTTCCACGCAAATATTTAGCGTAATGTTTTCCCGCCAAATTTGAAGGGTCGATAAGGTCATAGGACGTCACAGCCACGCGTGACGTCATGTGACATGTGGCACTACCGACTAGACCACGCACACCGGCTTGCACGGCTTGGCAGCGAGCACGCGTTTATATAAAAAAAAACTTTGCGAACAGGGCCCGATAACGCCCTCGCGTTCCACCCTTAAAGGCGAAGCTTAAGTGTCCGCCAAGTTTTTTCTTGTTTTTTTTTTTTACAAACCACCGCGCGATATTGCTCCCTCATAGGTTCACATCAATATCGAGTTTTTAGGCATAATATGGTATTGTGTCGTTTGTCATGTGCGTAACTATAAATTGCAGAGTATAAAATAAAACAGGTTCGCTAGATTGTTTCTGCGTAGAGCTTAGACGTATGTCTTTTTATACGTTAACTCGTGCTTTTAAAACATTCATAAATTAGAAACAACACAAAATACTATGTCCACAGCTCGATCAATTCATGTTTTCTTTTTTTCTTTTTTTTAAGAAATTTACACAAGTCATTGCGCGATAACACGGGTGAAGCGCCGGCAGTCACTGTGGCTCATTCGGGTTCATTTTATCGCTAAATACTTTGTATAGAGAAAGTAATTTTATTATGGCCCAAAACTGAACACGTCACATATATCCTCTCACCACAATGTCACGTCCCAGTTGTGTATACAGTATATATGTTTAAAAATATATATATTTAAAAAAAAAATAAAGGTGCGAGCTTTCAACTTTGTTTCTGTTGTTTGCTTTCGTTTTCACAGCGCTGAAGCAGGGAGAGTCGATCCCCGACGGTCGACACAGGGGTCCCGGCCCCACGGGATCTGTGCTGGACAAACAGGGCTCGCCGCGACAACAACTGGTCCGCAGGAGAGCCCACGGCTCGGGACTGGCCGGGGCCAAAGCGCAATCCAAGTCGCAATCCAAGTCGACGGCGAGGTCGAATCCAAACGCGGAGCCAGAGCCAGGTAAGTTTCTTGTCGCGTGCTCCTCTACTTCTTTCGTGGAGACAGCGTTTACGGAAAAAGTGCAATTCTATCGAATTCAATTCCGTCCATTCCACGTGTTTTTAAACTAATATAAAAAATATGTTTAAACGAAAACGGAGTAAGAAATAAATGAGGATTAGTTAAAAATCTACTTTGGGTATGGCTATTTTTTTTTTCGTTCTGTCGCGGTCACGGGGCGACAATAATGCTAAAAGTAATCGATGGTTATATTAAGACCCGCTGTATTCTTGTACTGATTTTTAAAGAAAATTATCATCTATACTCACAGACAGTTTTAAAAACGCAAGGCGTCCGTCTTTTTCGATTGATTTATTGATTGATTTCTTTATTTATTGATCGAGTGATTGATTGGCTGTTTCCGACATTAATCGATGAGAAAACTAGAGAACAAATTACGAGCCAAGGAGCACAATAAACCACGTACTGCGGTTTTTCAGGCTTTCGGTGACCACAGTAAGGACATGCCTTCAAACCTTGAACCGCAGCATGGCCCATAAACCCGATTATTAAGAAGTTCATTAAAACATTCCATTATGATTCCTATTCGACTGTGAGGGTTCTTCCTCATTTCCGCCGAGCCAGTCAGACAACGCACAGTGAAGTGGCCATCAGCGTAACGGTCATTCAGCTTTTTTGTATTATTATTTTATTTTAGAAAGACGTTTGTATCGATCAAACAGTCACCCGATATATTGTCCGCTTTCGTAAATAGCCCAAATATAAGCGTGCTTTGGCAGTGACGCGCGAAGGTCGAGATAAAGAAATAAAACACGATTAACTTACGAAACGAGTATTAGCGAGTACGGTAAGATGAATAGCCTAACCGGCATCCTCCCCTAATATCTTCATTAATCAAACTCCATGCGAAAAAAAAAACTCTTAACTTTCAATTGTTTGAAAAATCTCAGGGAAACTCATCGTGGTGCGATGCCTTTCACCTTGCGATGGAGCGCGGCAGAAGCTACGAGCCGTCCTCATCCAATACCACGCTTTGAGCTTTTCACGTGACAAGCCGCTTTGAGCTTGTCTGTGCCCGTCCCCAATGTCACGTGACTCTCAGGTGGCACTGCATTGGCGGGAATGGCTCGTAGCGTCCGCTACCGTCCAGGGGGGAAAAAAAGGTACAGGGATGCCAGGCTAAAGTGTTTTCATTATTCAGCGGAGGGCCATTTAAATCGCACTTTATATGGGCGATTCCCTGAAAATCAGAAGCTACAATTTGAGGTTCATTTTGATTATTTTGTACGCTTTCTCCCTAATTTATCTTCTTCACTCCCCCCCCCCCCCCCCCCCCTCCCCCCCGGGGACCTGTTTAGAAAAACAGCACACATGGTTCTCTAACGAAGTGGATGGCGGGCGCTCTCTAAAAACGTCCCACCTTTCCACTCTCCAAACAAAGCAATACCATCATTCACCCCCCATTTATAACGTTTCGTTTTAAGATTCTTCTTTTATTTTCATTTTGTGATCCTTTATTTTGATTTATATTGACTTCCCCCATTTTGATATATCTCACTCCACTCTTTTATATAAACATAAAAGCGAGCGAGATATAACTCTTTTTTTTTTTCAGCCCGAGTAAACACTTTTTGCTTTATTTTCTTCTCTCCGGTTCTGCTCTCACTTTTTGTTTTTGATTTTCTTCTCTTCTCCCGATTGCTGCAGGTTCGGCAGTTAATTCAACACCTCCTAGATAAAATGACAGGTTGTCCTTGTTGTTTTGTTTGCTCTTGTTGTTGTTGATTTTGGTGGGATGAAGTCAGGGGGGGAACAAAGACAAGAAATTTGGAGGCGGTTCCCTTCTTGCACGCCATCCCTCTCCCTCCCTCTTAGCTTCCTATGATTAGGGAGGTTTAGCATAGGGTTACTACAGGCTGCCGTACTGAACGCCATCGTTACCCGGTTGCTTGAACTGCGACACCGAAGCATACGCTTAAGCGCGCGCCAGGAGCGTTGCCGTGGACAAGTAGCCTACTGTAACGCTATGCTGAAACCCTTTAGTAAACGCAGAACGCGTTTGCACGGAATACAGGTTAGGATTCGTTTCGCGTCGCCGTACCACGTGACGCGCTCCACGCCATGCCAAGTAAAATGGTTTTCTGATGCCACGTCATCGCGTTGGGTCACGTGACGTCACGGCATCAACGGGTCTAGATCTATCAACGTTGGCTGTCAAGTCAGGATGTAGCGTCAAGTCAAGTGACCGCGCCGTGTGACGTAGGTTACGAGACAACTCGTGACACGAAAAGAGACCCTGGGTGAAGACGAAGCAGCGGTCGTGCGGTGCGCTCGTGTTTCTCCGCAGAGTACGACAACGGAATCGACGTGATGCTGAGCGACGACCCCGGGAGAAGTCCGAGCGGCTCCAGAGTCACGGAGAGGAAGCGAACCCCAAAGTCTCGAGACGACTCCTGGCCGGACCTCAGCTGGGCAGAAGAGGACGCGTCGTGGGAGGTGAGCGACGACACCCCAATCGCTTCCCCCGAAGGCCCGTTTGCACGTATACATGGCATTGCTGAATCGAACTCTAGGAGGAGCGCCGATGCAGCGCAAACTTGAACGTAACTCAGTGATTCAGCACTGTGTATCAGCCCTGTATCATTAGTATAGAGGCCAGTCAGCGCCGCACCAGCAAGGTCAGCGCTATTTCCAGCGCCGACTAATAGCGTTGAGGTGGCTCTGTGGGGTACCTGTGGCCTTGAAATCAATTATATTACAGTCCATTTATATTTTTGCTTTCTAATAGTAAACGACGGGGTTTGAGGGACATTAGAAAAGGCTGCAACAATGCAGCTAGACAAGGTCCCTACTCTTAACGTGTTTAAAAAATTCGAGAAAACCCTGTTTTTTCGGCAGCCAAAAAAGGGAACTGCTGTTACATGGTCGCTCTCAAGTGTGGTTGAGCCGAAAAAGTTCGGCTGGTGGGCTTTTGGTCGGAGTTGCGCGTGCGAGCTAGCGATACTTGAGCCCAAGTGAGCTCGCCTGCCGCAGTTGGCCCGAGTGACTTCCGCCGTAGCCGCCTGTATGCTCTCTGCCTCTCGAAAGGGCTCCCTGAGGCCGTCCCGTTTATTCCTCTCCCAATTATTCCTCCCTCTCCTCTACTAATGCTCGTGTACGCCGCGAGACGGCGCTGCCTATTTTGGGAGGTTGAGATGAAGTTGAGAGGCTGAGGATACAGAATATAACAGTTGAGAGAGCTAGTAAATACAAGTATCTAGGAGTAAGAATATGTGATGGTGCAGAATATCTCAGTAAGCATGAAAAGTATATAATACGTAAGAGCAACAGAAATGCAGCTGTAATGAAAAATAAAGCACTTTGGAAATACAACAGGTATGAGGTGTTGAGAGAGATTTGGAAAGGGGTCATGGTGCCTGGCTTGACTTTTGGAAACGCAGTGCTATGCATGAAATCCGAAGTGCATGCAAGACTAGAAATAAAACAGCGTGGAGTAGGTAGGCTGACTTTGGGGGCACATTGCAAAGCGCCAAACCAGGGAGTACAAGGAGACATGGGATGGGCGTCATTTGAGAGCAGGGAAGCGGTGAGCAAGATCGAATTTGACGATAGGTTGAGGCAAATGGATGGGGAGCAATGGGCACGAAAGGTTTTCAGCTATTTATACATGAGGAGTGTAGACATAAAGTGGAGACAGCGCACTAGGAAATTAAGAGGAAAGTTTTTGGGCTATAGCGAAGATATGGAAGAGCAAGTGTCAGTTAAGAAGAAAGTTAAGGCCACAGAAAGTGATCGGTGGCTAGAGGAAATGCAGACAAAGACGGCTCTGGAAAGCTATAGATTAAACAAAACAGTTATTGCGAAAGGAAGCATTTATGACAATTCTAGGGGAAGCTTATTGCTGTTCGAGGCGAGGACGGGTGTTCTGCGAACCAGAACATACAGAGCGAAGTACCAGAAAATGGATACAGTGAGTGCTGCTTGTGGAGAGGAGGGCGAGACAACTGAGCACTTGATACTCTACTGTAAAGGGCTTCACCCTTTGCCTACCGAAGACAACATAGATTTAATAAAGTCATCGGGTTTTAGAGGCAGCGAAGGAAAAGTTGATTTCAAGACAGAAGAAATTACCAAGCAAAGATTAAGTGAATGGTGAAAGCGAGAAAAAACTAGGTATTTTCTTATTAACTGATGGCAAGGGGATTCTATAGCCTCACTTTCTTTTCAGTGCGGAGTGAATATAGTTTTCACACTTAAATATTCTAAGCTTAAATGGTAAAACAAAATGGCTAGGTGGCGTAAGCTACCGCCCGATCCAAAGAACTCAGCCGGATTTATCCCTCCATTCATCCATCCGGTTATAGACAGCCGATTGAAGAGCGGGTCCATCTCAGACCATGGGGAGCGTCTGAAATTGAATGGCGGACGCCTCCTGCAGAGGTCGGTCGCAAGTGTGTATGCGCTGCGTTTTCGCGTGGCGAGGCGGAAAGCAGGCGGAAAGACGGAGATGATCGCCGACGATCAACGCTTTCGGCACGTCCTCGAGCTCGCATTGCAAACGTGGCCCATAAACCACGTGACCTCGATCGAGCAGTTGGACACTCTCTGCAATAGAGGCACTCTGGAGGCCAACCCCAGGGCTTTGTGCGCGACGCGTCGTCTGCGAAGGTGGCGCCCGCACCCCGAAAGCAACGGGGGCGGCGCACAGCTTCTAGGATCCGCCACGAAATTTCGGCTATAACGGATGTTGCCGTAAAAGCGCCGATGTCGTGAGCGCGCTAAGTCTGCTTCGCACTGTACAAACGTGTCGTGGGACAAAACATAAATGGCGATAGTCTGCTGAAGGTTGAAAAAAGACGGACGGGGCCCTTCCCGCGAAGCTTTCTGTTCGCCATGATTAGTGCTTTCCTCCTCCCTACTCGCCTCCTCTCTAGCCTTCGTTCTGCTAAACTGGAAAGGGCTTTGTGGGAGAACCCACTATACACCGATTCAGTCCTCTGACGTCACGCCAGTGCGGTGGCGCTGCTGTCGGCACTGCGCATGCGCAGACGCTTCATCTCGCCCGATTATGGTTTCTGAGCAGGCGCGGTACCCACGCCTGGTGTGGACAAAGACGGTCTCGTTTGGAAGCAGCGTGTCGGTGTATTACTACAACCGCTCTTTCGCTCCACGTTCCCAGGTCTCAAGGAGGCGACGGACAGGGCCCTCTGACGGCGACTCGGTCGACGCCGACGAAGACGACGATCCTTCGGGCCGCTATGAGTCGCCCCTCAACACGGTGGCGGCCACAACCACGGTGGCGACGTCTCCCCACGACGGCGTCGCGGGACCCGCGGCGGAGTCGTGCGACGTGCTCGCCTGCTCTCCGGAGGGACGCTGCGTCCAGGACGAAAGGCGGGGCGGCGTCCGGTGCGCCTGCTCCCTCGGCACGGGGGGTCCCTTCTGCGACCAGGGTGGGTCACGACGGGCTCTTCGCGAGACAAGATTCTGCCACACTCTTAAAGCCCCAGTCACGCTGCTCATACTTTCTACTAAAGACGAGGTGTTGTATGACAGACGCAACAAGACCCTCTTACGGGACAGTGTCTCCAGACTATTGTTTGCGTGATGCGCTGCGATGCTGAAGAGACAGCATAGGTACGCGAAACGTCATGTACAGTGTCACGGCACAGCTTGCATTTTAACGCGCGACGTTCCTTGTAGTTCCGAATGTCGTGCAGCCGCGTTTCGGTAAGCTGTGGCATGTGACGTCCCATAATGCAACGCCCGCAGTGTTGCATTATGGGCACGCCACAGACCTACACACCGATCCAGTTGCTCCGCTAAATTTAGTGGGGACGGTGAACTGTTGTATTAGTCACGTGACGTCAATTTTTCCGCTAACTTTAGCGGTAAAATTAACGTCAGGTGACCTACAAACCAATTCATTTTCCCCGCTAAATGTAGCGGGGAAATCGACGTAGCATGACGATGTCACGTGTTGCTGGAATGTTTCATGTACCCTGCAGAATTGCCCAGCAATTGGCCACGCACATTTTTTATTGTTTTTTAGGTCAAGATGTATAAAGTGTCCCAAGTCGCGAGGTTCAATCTAAAATGGACCGTAAAAATGGACGCCTGCACGTAGCAATCTAAACTTTTCGTCATAAGTGCATTACACAAATCAGTTTTCTTTTTTAATTAGAAAGCGTAGCTTTTTTGTGGCAATAGAGCGTACTGGTTAAGTTACGGTGCTAGAGAAGAATAACGTAAAGGACCGTAGCTCCCTTTCTGCAAACAATAGTGCCAAGAAACTTGCCAGGGTCAGCGGCGGGCTGCGACGCAGACGACGAAGTCGACTGGCAGGGCGCGTTTGGCTCTAGTATTTATAGATGGCACTACCTCCTTATCGAGACTGCTCGCAAACACCGTGGTTTATTAAAATCAGCATAATCTTTTTCTTAGAGTACCTTTAGTCTAAAAGCTAATGGGGACAATAAAAGCAAAACTTAAAGGGGGGAAAAATGCGTTTGCATAACGACGGCGCTTTTGCTACCAACGGATTTCGTCTGCGTGTCGTCTGTTTTATCTCACTGTGGGCTACACCTTCGGACGATGCTTCTGACGCCATGTCTCAATACGCCTGCCAAACGCGCCCCACAACTCGACTCGGTCGTCTGCGTCGCCTTCTTCCGTTGACCAGAGCAAGCTTCTTGGCAACAAGTTTCACAGAAAGAAAGCTACGCTTTGTAATTTTACAAGGAAAAACCGACGTGTGAAATATATCTTTGACGAAAAGTTTCGATAGCTACGTGCAGGCGTCGATTTTTACGGTCCATTTTAGATCGAGTCTCGTGATCTGGGATATCCTATAGTTTGAGGCTCGTCATTCGCCGAGCGTTCTTTGTAAACTGTGGTGATTGGCCCTGCCAAGTGCATTGCGGAAAGAATGGCACACTGGTGTATACAATCACCAAAAACCAAAAAAAAAAAAAACCGGCACATGTCTATTTCGTTTACGCATCTTGCTTTCTTAATTGGCCAATACCCCAACCGCATGGGCTGTATAGCGATAATAAGGTGCTAGGGAATTGGCCACTCCCTGCGCTTTTCTTAAGCTGTCGATACTACTTAGATTTGAAATTGTTTTCAACTTCTCGATCGGATTTTCGTGGTTTACTTTAAAACATGAGTTCTCAAATGGGGGTCCGCGAAGCCCTGCCTCGTCAGTCAAGCCCGGTGATAAAAGTTCGACATCTTGTCAACCCTGAGATGGGGAACGATAAAAATCTTGTAAACATGCATCATACCAAAGACAGTCCGCAAACACAAGTCACCACAATATCCGTGGTTCGAATGCCGCCTGCCAAGTTTTCTCCTCGAACCCCTTCCCATGCCGCATTCGAAGCACGGATCTCGCGGTGATTCGCTTTCGAATCTGTATGATGCGGACTGTCTTTTGTACGAGGTATAAGCAGTCTGACCCCAGCTTAACGATGCCCAATAACGATACGATGCATGCACGATGTGAGGCGGTGGAGTAACGGCTATCGTTATCGGAGTCTTCTGAACTATATCTACTAGACCTCTCTAATGAACCCGTCTGCACATGCGCCCAACCAGCGCAGTCCACCATTACATTGCAAGGGCTATCCACCGTTAGATTTGCTTCCTCTCTGAAATCTATAAGGCTCTCTAACCTCGAAGTTAGATCGCCGCGAGCATTGAGGGAAACGGTGGAACCATGCTTTGTTTTTCCTCTACAGCGGCGATTACGGCCGCGATGCTAGAGTCGTGGAAGGGGCAGGCCCAGTCTGGTCGCTTGTGCGGTGGATGTGGCTCTCGGGACTAATGGCGCGTTCACACTGGAAGCGGATCCGCGTTCGCGAAGCGGATCCGCGCGTTCTCAACCGCAAAGCGGCTAGGATCGAGCGGTTGGAGCGCGTTTTTGCCAACCGCTTCGGGACCGATTTCTCCCAACCGCTTTCACGAACCGCAAAGCGGCAACCAATCACAACGCGACGCTGACGTGACGTCAGTGACTTTCGAAACAAGATGGCACCTGTCGCTGGTGAGGCGCCCAAGGCGCGGTAGTCCTAACGCTGTAGTCTTAGCTTTCGACAAATCAACGGAGAAACTTGATGTTCACGTCCGTCACTTGAATCCGCCGCGAAAAGAATTGACTCGGTAATTTTAACGGGCTTCGCACCAGTGATTTGGTTCGGGTAAGAGTTTGTTGATTATTCCGGGTGCCACAGCCCAAGCTCGCTGCCTTGTTAATCTCTGCTGTAGAACGTCGGAACCCGCCCCTGATCGACCGAAATGTCAGCTTTTCTACCCATAGGATAGTCGCGTGAACTATTGAAAGCTTTCGACACCGTGCATGACCACCACGAAGGCCGATAGAGACGTCGTGAGCTTGATTGCGTAGCCAACGCACTACCGCGGAGGGGGCAGGGTACCTGCGCTAGCCCGACCTGTAACGTTTACTACTAATAACATAAATAAAGGAAACCTACTCAAGGAATAAAGTGTACGTACCAGACAATGCAGACGTAATCCATACGGCGTTTATTTGAGCTTAATGTCAAACGAACAGTAGACTCGATCGACGAGCGAGTGACGAGAGGAGAGTCTGCCACCAACGAAGCCACGACCGGCTAGCACCGAACACATTTCCCCGCACCACGGTCCACCCCACCGCTCACAACTTCGAAAATGATAAGAGCGAACAACAACGAGGGGGAAAACTGGCCCTCTATCCCGAAAACAAGGTCAGCTATTCATGAGGGAAGGGTCCACTTCGAAGAAAAGGTCGGGGGCATCCTGTTCTGAGTCAGCAAGGCGCGCCTAGCTGGGCTTTGCGTGTGGGCGAAGTGGAGGGAATCACAGGCGGGTTTGGCGGGTCCATGCTTCCCTTTTCGCTGCCTGAACTCGTGATGCGCGCGAACATCCCGGAGAGAAATATTCTGAGTGCCAAAATAGCCAAACTTTGGCTTTGGATCTTGAATTAAAGTGGATTCTGGATTGTAAAACAGGGTTGCCAAACGCAAGTCTCGAAAGATCACGCGTGATCGCCGAGAAACCGCCAACCGGCTCTCGGTGAGTCTGAACGGGGTCGCTCGCGAACCGCGACCGCTTCGCGAACGCGGATCCGCTTCCAGTGTGAATGCGCCATAACGGCCTGTTCACACACTTGCGTTTTCTTACGACTGGGTTTTAGTAAGCTCTTACAGCGAGAGAACACACTGGCCATCTGTGAGGTGGGGACCCTGGAACTGCGTTTCACAAGAGCGAAGGTTTTGCAGCCTCTGCGATATCAAATGTACCTATACCAGCTATGAGAAATGGTACTCTATAACACTGTCAAAAGTTTCTTGAACAAAAAAATATTACCCAAGAAAAAAGAAGAAATATACGGAAATGCCAAGTGTTCAACGGCTACCCGGTAGTGGGCGCCAGCGCGTTCTCTCGTCATAAGAGGTCTCAAGAGGTTTTAAGGCGCACGGTCGTAAGCAGCTGAAAATGTGTGAGCCAGCCTTAAGAGCTTAAAACTTAGACATCTCGGCGTTCAGAAGTGTCAATGATTGCACTCCAATCGCTGCGTGAGCAAGGCAGAATCACATTTTGAATGATACGGTTCAGGGGACGAGCAAAAGTATATGTACACACGCTGTCGATAGCCTACGCTCGGAAGAAGATAATATATTTTTGATAGCGCTATGAGGACGTTGACCCGCTTCTAAGGAATGGATGGTAACTTTGGTAAACTCTTTAAGAAAAACAGTACCTAGTGTTAACTGATCCGTGCTGCACTTAAGCTGCGCCAGTCACTTTGGTTTACAGGGAGCCCTCAACCACTTTTAATTACGACCACCCCGTGCCTTAACTAATGGCCAGGTCAAAAAAAAAAGTTTCACACACAAATGGCGTATAACGTGAAACGAATGTTCAGTGTCTCGCGCAGATCCCATCACTGAATCAACAACAAAAAAATTAAACACGTTTACAACTCCCTGTAACGCCGAATCAGAGCGCAGCTCTTGAGGAGGAGGTGGGGGAAGTAAGGATAGTCGAATATGCTCCTCCTCCTCATCCGTACCCTCCCCTCCTCCTCTCCTGCTCCCCTCCCAATTAGCGGGAAATGTTCGCTAAATTTCCTACTAAATTTAGCGGAAAAAATTCCCCGCTAAATTTAGTGGGGAATTGTTTTCGCTAAATATAGCGGGGATGTTTTTCTGCAGAATTTAGAGGAAAGATTTTTCCGATAAATTTAACAGGAATTTTTTCCGTTAAATTTAGTCTGAAGTTTTGCCGCTATATTTAGCAGTAAATTTTTTCCCGCTAAATTTAGAGGGGAATTTTTTCCCGCTAATTTCAGGGAGGATTTTTTTCCGCTAAACTTAGAGGGGAAGTTTTCCCGCTAAATTTAGCGGTGAAATTTTTACACTAAATTTAGCGCGGAATTTGTTTCGCTAAATTTAGCGAGGATTTTTTTTTTCGCTACATTGAGCGGGGAAATTTTTTTGCTAAATTTGGTGGGAATTTTTTCTACAAAATTTAACCCGCTTAATATAGAGGGAATTTGTTTCCTCTAAATTTAGCGGGCAAATTTGCTTATAATGCAACGCGCGGTGACTTTACGTGTGACGTAATTATGAGAAACGTCCTATAATGCAACGCCGACGCCGCTCAAGCCGGAAACGGGCGCCTAAGAGCTGCGCTCTAAAAGTTGACTTAGTACCATCGTTAACCCAACTCCTCGGTGGATCGCAATGGTTAGACATCTGCGTGCTTCGAAAAAAAGTAGGCGCGCGAGTATCTCAAAAGTGTTGCTGCGAGGGCAGTGTGCTCTAATAAATGCGGACCTGTTTACATCCCCGCGATTCTCCCAATTAACACACCATGCAGTCGTCGGTCCTCCTTTAATCAGCTTATCCAGTGACGTAAGATAGTATTATCGAACCCCAACGGGGAATCCATGCTATTTTTATCTGTTCTTGTCGGAGTAGGGCTTCTCCATTCTTCCTCCCGTGCTATTGCATCCTTGGAGAGTGATACTGCTCGAGCTTCTTAGCGGCTAAGCCGATTAACTCGAGAACAACTGAGAAGTCCGCCACAATAGCCAGGCACTCACGGAGCTCTGATCGTCACTGTAATTGCCTTCGATGTGCTACGCCACACTTGATCTTCTCGCTAGATTACGAGCATTTGTAAGCATTAGAAATGGCTCCATCGCCAGAGTTGTCTGCTTCAAACAGGAAGTCGTCTTCTTGAGATGCTGTTCTGCACACACGTTGGTCTTTTACACGGCCACTTAATGAACACAAACATGACTCCCTCGCGTGGTTTGCAGTTATTTTTCTGATTATAGTCCGCACTACGTATACATCTGGAGTAAATATCCGGTGGAAAACATTTTGTTTTCCTTGGATAATCTGCACGTGCAAAGTTCGCACCCGATGCTTCATGTGGGCGAAAAACAAATCCTCGTACACAGCATACCTTGAGAGATGCTTGCTTTGTAGCTCACAAAGACGTTCATGACATATAAATCGACATTAGCATACTCTGTCGTTCCCAAAATTTGCCGTAAGCGATCTAGAAAAAAAAAAGCATTTTACAGTCGTCATTTGTCTATGTTGCGTACTTTTAAAACGGGCCTAGTCCGCGGTGGACGGTATACATCAGCACGCGGCTCTGACGATACACCGTAGCAGAGGTTCTGCTGTCGTCACAGCGCAGACTCCTCACCTCCCTGGTTTCTGACTTGTTTTTGTTAGCAGCGAGTTGGTCTATAGTCTGGAAAGTTCGGTGTGTTCGGGTAGGCGGAGGATCAACCCCAGCGTCGATGACCGTGCGGCCCTCATGACTCGAACCCCGACGTGATAGACACTGAGCATATACTGGACACGAGGGTTGCGTCGGCGTTCGGCGAAGACTCGGATCCAGTCACACGCTTCGTACTCAATGAATGGATGGATGAATGTTAGTGGCTATACCTTTTGTAACGGGTGGTAGCTCGCGCCACCTAGCCTAGAAATGGTGGCCGCCACTGTTGCTTGATCTGTTGTTGTTTCGGCTGTTTTCAGAGCTGGAGCTGCGTCACCCCCGGTTCTCGGGCGCTTCCTACCTGGCCCTGCCCACTCTGCGGGACGCCCACAAGTCCATGCAGGTGTCGCTGCAGTTCCGGCCCGAGACCCACGACGCCCTACTCCTGTACTCCGGGGAGACGCCCGAGCTCCTGGGGGACTACTTCGCCATCGTCCTAGACAAGGGATTCGTCGAGTTCAGGCGAGAAAGAGTCCTCGACGTGTATTTAGCATTTATGTGAAGGATACTGCGGCTCACACGTGCGGGCCATAGGAGGGATGGGAACGGTAAAATATATATTCTTTCGTTTTAGCAGGCCCTACTCCAATCTCAAACTATTTCGCGACATAAAAATCGCGTCTACAGAACCTTCAAGTAACGGAAGCCACAAATTCAGTTGACAAGAAATTTTATTTGTTAAATGTCCCCGATAAAAATATACTTTGAAGGCATTATATTTAGGTTGGAATCCTTTTAATGGCATGGTATAATTTAATCAGTCTAGACGGTGTTTTCAAAAAACGCAAAGGACTGGAAGAGAAGGAGAGGACAGGACAGAGCGCTGTATCCTGTCCCCTCCTTCTCTTCTTAGTCCTTTGCGCTTTTTAAAACCACCGTCTAGATAATCAACCAACTGGCCCCCCAATTAATTCTGATTATTCTCAGTCTACTTATCTTCTTCGCTCTTGTCTTTAATGGCTGTATCAAGTTTGCTTTTAAAATGAAACTTGGTACAGAAGAGGTAAACATTCTTAATAATAACCGGGATATGTCTTTGTTGTGACGGTGTTGGTCGGTTCCCGCCTTATTTCTGGTACTTGGTGGTTGACGCTTCGTTCGGATTGGCTGCTCGTCGATTGGCAAAATGATTGGAGCTGCTAATGCCCTTGCCTTATTGACTTTTCAGTGAAATTAATCAGCATTCCCTAACTCAAGCCTGTTCAGACGGTGGCCATCTTCAGAAGGCTGCAACCAATGGTATTTTAATGGACGTGGCGTGTCACTCGAAAGTCACAATGACGTAAGTTAATAATAAAAAAAATGAGGGTCATCTGGTTCATTTCCCAACTTAGGTCCCGGTCAATGTGTCTCGAGAAAACTGCCGCATCATCGGAAAGACACAATGACGTGATCAGTGGCGTAACCAGGGGGGGGGGGGGGGGGGGGGGGGCAGGGGGGTACAAGTGCCCCGGGCGCCACTTGGGAAGGGGGCGCCGAGCCAACACCACCTAGACAGAAGGCCTCCACACGCGTCATCATAGTCAGACCGATCGAGGCGAGAGATTGGGCACGAGTGCTGCGTCAGCGTTCGGCTGCGGCTCGTGGCCAATCAGCGCGTCGAAGGTCGGGCTCGGGTCCAATAGCCGACCGAGCGCGATCCGACTGAGATGACGTTTCATAGAGGAAGAGGAAACCATGCGGAGGCCTTCTGTCTAGGTGGTGTTGGCCGAGCCCGAGTCCACCCATAATAATAACATGATGATGATGATGATGTCATTATCACTATCATCATGAGGGGCGCGAAATTTCATTTGCCATGGGCGCCGTCATATCTAGTTAAGCCACTGGACGTGATTTGATGGTTGAAAGAAGTGTGATCTGGTTTCCAATGAGCTTTCCGGCCTTTTTCAGTTACCCCGAAATTCGTTTAAAAGTGATTAAGTGGCCACTTCGTGTGTCGCGTCTCGAAGCAAGAGTTTTCAACTCTACAGTGCGCTGCCGCTTGGCTCTGCAGGTTCGACTGTGGCATGGGCCAGGGCATCCTGCGCAGCGACCAGCCCGTGCTCCTGAACGCCTGGAACACTCTGACCGTGTACAGGGACCGCTGGGACGCCTGGATGCAGCTCAACAGTGGCCACCAGGTGCAGGGACGCTCCAAGGTAACCTCTGGGTACCGCGTAGTTGCCGAAAAAACGTCGATAAGTGCACGTTGGCATTACCCTTAGCGAAGCCATGAATAAGCAAATTAATAAAAATTAAATGTGCGTCAAATTTGGAAAATCATCTTTCGATTTTAAACATTCTCAAGTATTTATTTGATGCCTGATTTCAATCATTGGTTCAGTCATTTTACTTCATTAGATTTTTTATCAATACACGATCAGTGCTTGAACTGATGGCCTTAGGTGCTCGCCTCGAGGTTCAATAACAAAATCGGCCTTATAGTGTGGCATACAAACTAAGCATGTCACAAGATAAATATAGATTACCATAAAATAGCAACTTATCGAAATAGTTATACATATCAGTAACCTTAAACACCAGATGGCAAGATGGCTTACCAGTCATCTTGGAAATCAAGCAAAAGCCATCAAGCAAGAGCGTACGTATTTTGACATGGTGGTAAATTAAACAAACTCAACAGGTAATTTAACATTGCGATCTTGACCTCTCGCAATTCACAATCACCTTCAGCGCTACTTTGTGGCCGAGTTTTACCCTTCTGCAATGGTTTCCATATTTGCGCGACGTGACATAAATAGAGGAGGATTTTCTATTCTTGCACCTGCTACCCTTACCAACCGCGTTCTTTATACAACCGCGTTCGCAACAGCTTTGCCCAGTACAATACTCCAGTACAATTACACGCGCACTCGACGACACCAAGTGCGCGTGACATTGTACTGAACCTTTATACAACCGCGTTCGCAACCGCTTTGCGAACGCGGATCCGCTTCCAGTGTGAATGAGCGGTTAGTTTGTACCGGCCACCGCGTCTCGGAAACCCAAGGCCTCGACAAAACGGTGCTTCGGCCGTTCTCTCGACAGGGCCTGTTCTCGAGGATCACGCTCCGGCTGCACGTGTACCTGGGCGGTTCCCCGAACGCCAGCCTGGCCGCCGGAAGACTGGGCACGAGGGAGGGCCTCGTCGGCTGCGTCAGACGCCTGGAGATCAACGGACGACGCTACGACTTCAGGACGGGAGGCCGAGGGGACGCAGTCGGAGGCATCGACGTCGGTCAGTGTTGCCAATCGCCTTGTTCGGGTGTCTTTAGGTCTCCCATTCCCGGAGCAGTCATAACACGTAACTGAATGTTTGTAATGCTCAGCACGCATCGCTACTCTGTACGTGAATGTGAATGGTTCTTGTGCGCCGTAAATTACAAGTATGATTAGCCAACTCGCTCAATCCTCCATCTTAATAACTGAATGACCTTGAGAAGGATCATCGGGTTGTCCAACCTCCCCTCTGCGCAACTGCCTTTATCTACTCTTCTAAAGTTTGCCTTCTTGATAACCGCTCTGCAAAATACGGCACTTTCGAGTCTCGTATAACCTCTCAAACGTGCCTCAACTTGAGTATAGCTCGCAGTTACTCGAATAAAAATATTTCCATACCGAACCCTAAGTTAGCTGATAAGAAACACGCTCTTCTAGATAGTTGATATTGTTGTTTCCGAACGTTATTTGGCACTCACTCATAGCGGGGCCAAGGGTCTAAATAGGTTGATCATTTGTTATTTTTGTTGTCGTTATATCTGAATATAACTGACTCTAGTCTATCAGCAAGTTCGGAAAGGCTTAACGAGATAATGATCTGGATGTTGTAGCAAATTTAAGCGACGCATTACGTACCACGCTCTGAACGTAGCGCACTGTAATTGCCCCAAAAGAAAGTAGGTCCGTAACAACAAGGGGAACTCCCATCCCCGAGAGGGCTGCTCTATCAGGCGGACCGCATATATTCGAAAAGTTTTTTTTTTTTTTTTTTTTTAATTGTTTATAGTTGTTTTTCTGCCAGAGACACGTAGTCTTCAAACTAAAAGGCCGACGTTCAACCTCGGTTTTCTGCAGGGAAGTTAATCCTCTTAGCACTCCCCCTCTCCTAAGCTTCGAGGGGAGCCACGTTGGGGCAAGATAAAAAGTGGAGAGGACATAGAAAAGGACGTGGCGGGAACGCGTGGAATGCACGTAGCGCACGTCGGCCTTTAAGGCCGTTTCTAGGTAGCCCAAGCATTGCGCAATTTCAGGTTTATCAAAATAAATCCGTCACCAGCTGGGATACATTGTCCCGGGTGATCTAATCTAAGACAGGGGTCGGCAACCAGCGGCCCACAAGGTCATATGATACGGCCCCTGGCACGATGCCAGAAACCCCACTTCCCTTCTAAACACCACCACCACACACCCACATACACATACGTACAAACATACGTAGAAACACCACCACGACACACACACACACACAGAGATTCTAAAGGTGCAAGAACTATGGTTGGTTCTTTGCACCAGGCGGTTAGTTTTCTGTGCACGTTTACTGTATGTATCACCATCCGCAATGTTGTGCGCCGAGGTGGTGTATTGAGATGCAGTAAATAAGGTCACTGTATCCAGCATAAACTAGTCGAAGTCACGGTTTTGTACCGTTGACAATTTCAACAGTTTCTGTCACACACACAGAGACTTAATATGGAGATTCTACGCCAAGCGACTGGTCAGAATTTTAGTATAAATCCTGTAGTCCATCATTAGAAAGAGCAATTGAATTCATGGTTTTTAGTTTCTCATTTTCTTTGGATGTTGCAATGAGAACTGTGGGCTCTTGAAAGTGATGGAGGAGAACCTGGACCGCAAGAGCTTCGCAAGATACAGCGTCAGTACAGGTCATAGCTGTTCACTGTGTTCAGAACTTAATACCCTCCCCCAGTTTTTCGTCAGGCCCGCTCCGCCTCCGTTTCGCGGCATTTGGCCCGCTGCAGCGGAAACGTCCGACCCCTGATCTAAGAAAACGTTTTTTGCGAAAGTGTCAAAAACTTTTTGGATGCTAGTTTGGGGATGACTGTATGTTCACGCTGTACGGTGTCACTCAACGCTGCTCTCTGCGACTTGCAGACGACTGCGGCGGGGATGCCTGCAGCCACGTCGTCTGCCAGAACGGGGGCCAGTGCATCGCCACGGGGACAGAGCGCGGCGTCTGCCTCTGCGCCCTGGGATTCGCGGGAAGTTCCTGCGAGACGCGTGAGTTCGTCTCTGCATCAAAGACACGAGCGTTTCGCGAGGGCTTCTGAAACTGTTCTTTTCCAATATTTTAGAAAGCTGTTGCTACCGTCCAGACACCCTAAAAAATGCGAGCAAGTGAATGCCATCGGGCCTCGTGAGTTTCCGAGCCGACGATACCGCGATTATGATTCTGTTCGGGTATACATAAAAGTCATAATTTTGGTAAGGTTGACGAGACTGTGGACACTGAAGCCTCCGACCCACTACTCATACATCATACAATAAGTTCGGCGTCCGCTGCAGCATAGCCTCCTATATTCACTCCGTGCGACGCGACCGGCGCGCCGCCGAGCGGCCATTACCGAAGGTAGCCAGTGAGAGCCCCGGCGAAACGAAACCACGCCGCGTACGTTGGTACGCATTGAAGTCGGAGCGATGCGGTTGCGCTGGGTTGACAGCATAAACTGCTGCGTCGTTAAGTGCTCCAATAGTTATGCGTCGTATCTCGTGGGAACGAAGTTTCACAGTTTTTCACCTCGCCAATGTTTTGTAGCACAGCAACAACAATGGACCCGTGCCGTACGACGCGAGGAATTTGGTCTCCCTATCATATCTGCCACAGTGTCGGCACGGCTGACATATTCTACACTACCGCTTTGCGCTCTGTGTTTGTTTTCGTACCAGCAACGCCTACATATCTCGGCTCGAACTGAAATGCCGTCCCACACTCGCGGGTATGCAGTACGAATTTCGTTGAAGGAATGCCCTCCAAAAAAGTTTCGTCCCCATCGTACGTGTCGATGATATTTCCGGACCAGTATAGGACCCAGTCTGTACTTCATGGAGAAAGATTCGGACGGTGCAAACAGTGACAAACATGAATCTAAGGAAAACTACAATGAGACTTGGAAACATTGGACAATTCATGTTTGAGTATGGAAGTTTATGTGGTGTGCTTTCTTTTTTGATCAGACTCCTTTTGAATGTGGAAACGCTGACACCCCGAGCCTTGTAGACAACAATTTTTTTTTCTCGGCTTTAGAGCCACCTATCGCAAAGTTGTTCGAACTGGGAGTACTGTCCACTGGTCCCTTCCTACCTGTAAAGTGTGCACCTCCCGGCCATGATGAGTGGCATACTCTTGACAGCCTTTGACGGGTAAAACCGGTTCCCGTTTAGTTACGCCGCCCAAAAATATTTCCACCTGGTTAAACTATGCCACCTCTTTTAGGTATAATAAGTGTTTTTTCAAGTTACGGTCGTCAAAGTACCTGTGTGCCGGAAATAAGCACCTCGCACAACCATATTACTACACAACAGCTGACCGCAAAAGCCTTTGACGGCCAAACCGTGTGTTGGCCGGCAACTTGGTTTTCTCAGCTTTGAAGCCATCTTTTGTAAAGTTTTTTCAACTCCAATTGCAGTGCACTAGTCCCTTCCTACCTGTAAAGCCTCCATCTCCCACGACGAGTGGCATTCTCTTGACAGCCCTTTCACGGTGAAAACAGTCTCCCATTCAGTTGCGCCGGCCAAACCAAATTTCCAGCTGGTTTCCCTATGTCACCTATTTTGATATTATAACTGTTGTGTCAAGTTACGGTCATGTCCAAGAACCTCTGTGTCCCAATCTGCACTTCGCACAGCCCGGTTATAACACAACATTTTGGGTCCAATATTGGATATTCCTTACAGTTTATTCCTTTATTCGTGCGAACCATAACTTTTACATCTGCTATCTTAAAAATACTTGGCCCACTTAGTGCACAAACTTAGTGAACATTTCACTCGCCTCCAAATATCATCGTCCCAGCAGCCCTGCGTTTACAGCAACGAGCGAAACTAATTTCCCACTGAGAGCAATTATGGTGGCGGCCGTCTAGCTTTTCGGAAAATTGCTCAAACCCCTTTTTCGACCGCAACTCAAGAAATTACACCTAATAACGACTCAAACTCAATATATAAGAAGTGGAGAACAGCTAATTGCCTTTCTGCCCCAGCACTCACGCAACGTCACCCTCAACGTATCGGCTCAAAAAGCAAAAGTTCCGTCCGTGCGTGCTTCCGCCGCCACAGCTTCGCACGCGAAAAGGCGCCACAGGCTACTGAGCGCGCCTCACTGTCGAACGCCAGCTTCTCCGCTAGCGGCGCTACGCGCGTTTTTCAAAGCGCCCCCTATAGTTCCCGCACCGAGCGTATACTAAAAACGCCTGGCAAACGCCACGAGTAGCGGCCGCCGAAATGAAAAAGATGGAGCGACAGACAACGGATGAGAGGGGAGCCACGTGACTGGCGCCCCGCTGCGGCGAGACGCCAAAATACACTTATCCCGAACGAACGAGTGTGTTTCGGGTCCTCACCGCTGCAAAAGTTGTGCTCTCACGCCCAGGTTCCCCGAGAAAGGGCTCTTTGATGCTCTGTGCTAGCAGATCCTCGCGCTCCAAATCTGCGACCGGGCACTCTTCCGTCGTCGAAATGGCAGGCTTTGTGAGTATAGAGGAGGCTATGGCTGCAGACATGATGACCGAATTACCTGCGAAGACACCTAAAGCATCATGTTCGAAACACGTTTGTTTCATACATACGTATGTTTTGAACTTGTCTGCATGTATAGTTTTTGTATGACCAGGTGTGACCGTCACAGAAGCAACGCCTCCAACAGTATCCGCTGACTGTATTTTGTGAGATGTTTTAGCAAGGCGTGCGCGGCTTTAGAGTGCCTTATTTGCGCTATATATCTCCGCTCTAAAGAGGAAAATCTTTCAGCGCGCCTATGATTGCACGACCCCGTCGCAGTACGTACAATGTCCATTCATATTGGAAGGGTTGCGAACAAACTCGGAACTTTTTGCGTTTTACAGCGTGACTTTTTGCACTCTGCGCGTGCTCCAAATGCAGTGAGCAAGCACCACCACCCCTCTAATACGAACGACCACTTCGCAAGAGTCTGTGTACCTATAGAAACTATTTTATGTGCACGGAATTAGTGAGGACAACAATTCGCGTGATCTTGGACATTGTAGAGTCTTATTCACGTGTTGCGATTTTACTAGCGATTTTGCAGTTGCGGCGTCGCTAGTGCGGAAAACAAAATGCGTGATAGAATCCGAGGTGTTCAACGTCGCAGTCGCAAAATCGCGAGTGAAATCGCACCATGCGAGTCAGACTAAACAGAGCAGCAGCATCATTTGATGGGCTCGTTCCGAAATCGACGCAAAAGAATGTCGCGCGCGTTCGGCAAAAAAATCTCAACGTGTTCATTCCACCACGTATCCTCAACCTTTTCGCGAAACAAGGGCAAATTGATAACGCTCTAGCTGTGGCTGTTTATTGTTGAACAAAGAAAAAAGTATCGACTGCGGCCGTTTCCATCTTCTTGGCGCAGCGGTGGACATCGTGGTGCCCTCGTTCAACGGGTCGTCCTACCTGCGGTTCTCCGGCCTGGGCAACGCACACCTGTCCTTCCTAGACGTGCAGGTGGCCTTCAAGCCGCTCTCCCCGCACGGCGTCTTCTTCTACAACGGCTGCAAGATGGACGGCACGGGGGACTTCGTCGCCCTCCAGATGGCTAACGGATACGTCGAGTTCCGCTTTGACCTCTCCTCCGGCACCGCGGTGCTCAGGCAAGCGCACACCCTCCTGCCAAAACTTTCCTCGTCAGAACGGTCGCGGAGCGCAAGTTCGTCTGCTTCTTTCTCGGGGTTGTTGTGACGTCAGAAAGACGCCGATCTCTTATTGGCTCATGATTGAAGGATAGTGGGTACGCCTCTAAGCAAGCTGCCTTGAGGTCTACCCACTATCCTTCAATCAGGGCCAATCAGAGCTCGGAGTTCTGACGTCACAACAACCCTCGCGAAAGAAGCAGACGAACTTGCGCTCCGCGTGCGAGTAGAAACTGAGGGAGAGAAGGAGATGAGACTTTTTTTTATATATATCTATGTAAAATATATATGTAAAATATATATGGTGAAAGCCATGTTTCTTTGCAGAGGTGCAATCAGCTCTATATATGAACGCCGTAACTCATTTTCTTACGGGGATACGAAATTTCGAAGCTCAAGGCGTTGGGATAGCCAAGGTTTCGCTGTGGGATTTTGCGCGGCTGTCAATTTCACACCAAAAAATGCGCGTAGTAATAAATTTTCTCACTTGTTTTGTAGAAGGTTTATAGCAATCATGCAGAATATTAAAATATAGAATAAAGAACTTCTATATAAACAAAGCTACGAAACACGTCAAGTAGACACGTTTTAAGGACACATTCGCAAACTATTTATCAGCAAAGTACTTTGTATAAAATGTGAAACAATGTATTTAAATGAGAATCTTTTTAAGCTCATTTTACGAATATATAAAATATATATATGCTTGCCATTATTTTAATTGTGGAAATGCACAAACGCATTAGTTTTTTATTATTTGGTAAAATTGCACGGTAATATTTAATGAAAAACTCCCTATATTTTTTTGTTTTACTTTCATTCATCCTTCGCAATGTTTTGACCCAACTCGTGATTGCAAGACATCGAGCAACCTATGACCTCCCTAAGAGAAAAATGATAACAAACCTTCACTCAAATTGAGCTAGCTTGTCTTCCATATAGGGGCTCTGCCGCACGACGCAGGCTTCAAAGAGACATTATCTAGAACCAAGAAAAGGCTGTAGATCGATGCTATAGTCTATCTTAAGGTCTAGAAAGTCGTGCTGCCTCTTGCTTATCTTTGTATTTGTGTTGCAATGCATTGTCGTCTCAACCTCCCTCCCCCACCCCTCCGCCCCATCCATCTTTCCATCTGGGGCCTTTCGCCTATGAAGGACTCTCGGGTGACGCCTCAGCTGCCGAGAGTTAAAAGCTGTAGGCACGGTCCATTATCGTGAAACGGAATACCCGCACACGAGGAACGTCTGTCATGGCGAAAACAAGGCCAGGGAAGTTGTGTCTGGAAGTCGGTATCTTGGTGTTCAACGTTGTGCGACGGCAAACAAACCAGCTTACCATCTCTAAGTGTGTACCGTACAATGGAATGCAGATAGAAGTTGACAACTACAGGACTTTCGTTGTTGGGTGTCTTTAGGTCAGTTCCTAAAACGATAGTCCGAGTCATATTTTGTAGATTTCCGTGAAATGCACACTATATAAAAGGCGTGTCTTTGAGAGAATCACTCAGCTGTAGCACTCAGAGTGATTCACGAAACGCGGGCCAAATCGTTCCTGCGAAAAGTACGCATCGAACAGGCAAATAGTTTATGAATATTGGTCCGCTGGCAAAAATGCAAATTCAGGAGAGAACAGGGTTTGATATAGTTAGGGTAACATTAAATTTTAGCAATTAATTTCGAAATCATTACCATGCTGGGCATCATAGAAAACTGTTAAATTCACTATTACTTTAAATGTGTAAGTCATCCGCAGCATTTTAGACGCTCCAAAAAAGACGCTTCACTTAAACGCGTTTTGGAAGGTCTGTGCAGAGTTTGTAGGAGGGACTACACACTAGGGACAAATCGAGTTTCTACACCCTACGATAGGGCAGCACCGCTGCCTATCGTGGGTCATATGTTACTCAATGTTACTTATCGTAGGTCATATGCTACTCAAAGTTTCGACATCACAAATTAGTTCAAGACACTGCAGACGGTCACGGGGAGTTTAAAAGTAATAAAATATACCGTTTTGGATAGTGACGTTTAATTTTGTGACATTTAAAAAGATCAGCTGCGTTTCTGCATTAATAACACAACTACAACAAAGGCTAAGCGTATCGTTTTATATATTGTAAAAAAATATCTACAATTGGTCATTTTGAAATATTTTGCACCATTTTGTATAAAGCAGTTTGTTAATAGATATTTGTGAATATGTCTCTAAAATGTGTTCACTTGACGTTCTTTGTAGCTTTTTGGCCTACGAACTTTTTATTGGTAGTTTTAATAGTTTGTTGTAAATTGTTGTAAATTTCTCATAAAATAATTAGGGAAAATTATTACTGCGTGCGTGGTTAGGTGTAAAATTGATGACTGTGCAAAGTACCATGATAAAAATGAAGAAATTTTCATGTCTCGAGATTAGAAATTTCATCTCTCCGGAAGAAAAGTAGCTACAACTTTCATATATAGCTGAATGCTTCTTCCAAAAAATATGACTTTCAGACATATGTTTTTTACAAAGATATAAAAAGTATGATCCAGGCAATCATTCTACGATCTGACATGAAAACGCCGAGGTGTAAACGTACATATTATATAACTCGGTCCTTGGTTCGGGTGTATATATTTTCATCAACCTACTTTTTCTTTCTTTTTTTTTTTTTTTTTTTTTGCTTCTAGGACATCGGGGTTGTTCAAACTTTCATCACGAAAGGGTATTGCGGGACAAAATTTACCACCGAAGTTAGTGTCTCACATCAGCCCTTTCCACCATATGATTAGTTTTTTTTTTTCTTCTTGTTTTTATGGTTCAAATTACAATAGAAAAAACATTACACTACTAGCTTGAGCAAGCTGACAAAGACCGGGTAGCACAGAATGTTTGGTGAATGAGCTGGGCATACGTAATATGTGGGTGCGTGACATCAAACAACGTCATGACATCACATAACTGTGACGTCACACGATGTCGTGGTTTCGCGTGACGTTACAGTCACGTGACCTCATGACGTCATATGCGTCATGATGTTAAATGTAAACATTTCGGTGGAACTCCACCTGGTTAGGTACGCAATATGAAAGGGTTACATTGTAGAGAACCAATATCTTCTTCGTGCTCGACGTTTCGAAGCCGGTTTTGCTCCTTGTTCAAGGGTGACTGGGCCCAAAGGTTGCGATCATCGTTCTAATCTTTTTTATGTCAGTACTGTTTCCTCTTAGTTTTTTGTTTGGCGCATCGTAGCCCGTGTGTATAGTTGCTTGGCAGCGTTTCGATTGATCGGTTCAGGTTGTTGCTCGTATTTTGTATGTGCCAGAATCGTTGTAAGAGCCGTTTCGTCCAGTTTCTTTCTCTGTCAAGAATGGAAGTGCTGTCGAAGGCGATAACGTGGCCGGTCTTCTCAGTCTGTTCCGCGAGCGCGTTGCATTGGATCCCTCTCTTCTTCACGTCATACTTACGTCTGTGCAGAGGTTCGGGAAAGTTCTTTGTTTCCCTCACACACGAGGCGTCGCATTCAGCACAAGGAATTCGGTGAACCGTCCTTGAGCTTTTTGTTTTTGTGCGGCAACCCTTTGGAGAGGAAGGTAATGACCTATAATTGAGACGGGCTCGTGTTATGGTCTCAGAGCGCGAGCGAGCACCTCACTCTTGCCGTAGAGGTACGGGACGCACATGTATTTGTTTATGTTTTTGTTTACTGCTTTTAGAAAGCGTCGTGGCATTCCATACAATTTTTCGACAAAAAGGTTACACAAAAAGAGCAGAGCACGGGCAGCACATGTTCCTAGGAAGATGTGCTGTCCGTGCTACGTTCTTTATGTATAACTCGGTAAAAAAAATAGTATTTTTTTTTTTCTTGGCTGCAAGAGGGTAACGTTTCCTGTATATCTTGTTGGCGAATCTTGTTGGGTAGTTGTTTTTTCTGAGGCTTCGTTTTATAAGATCGACTTCCATTTTAAGGGACTTTTTTATTGAGCAGACCGTGAGGGCGCGTCAAAAGAATGCCGACACCACAGAGAATTTTTGAGTTGTGGGGTGGTCTGACGAGAAGTTTAGATAGCGACCGGTGTGCATGGCATTCCTGTGTACCTCGAAGGTTAAAAGGAAGTCAATCTTATAAAACAAGACCTCTAAAAAAGTAACTACATAACAAGATACATCAACAAGATATGCAGGAAACTACGTTACCTTCCTGCAGCCAGGAACGAAAACACATCCAGCCACATGTGCGCCCCGTACCTTTATGGCACGAGTGAGGTCCTCGCCCGCGCTCTGAGACCGTAGGGCATCGCAGTTACTCACAAACCCGTCTCAACCATAGGTCATTACCTTCCTGCTCCAAAGGACCGCCGCCCAAACGAAAAATTTCAAGGACTGGTTTAGCGAATTCCTTGTGCTGAATGCGACTCCTCGTATGTCGGAGAAACAAAGAACTTTCCTGAACGGCTGCGCAGACATAAGTATGACGTAAAGAACAGAAACATCCAATGCAACGCGCTGGCGGGACATGCTGAGAAGACCAGGCAGCAGTTCCATCTTCGACAAAGCAAAAACTGGAGGAAACGGCTCTTACTACAATGCTGGCACATATAAAATACGAGCAACAACCTGAACCTATCCACCGGAACGCTGCCAAGCAGCTATACACACGGGCTACGATGCGTTACACACAAAAAGAAGAAGAAAACAATACTGGCGTGAAGAAGATATCAACGACAGATTGCAACTTTTGGGCCCACTTACAGTCATTCGTGAACAAGGAGCCAGCCGGCTTCGAAACGTCGGGCACGGAGAAGAAATTGGTTAGAGTCTACGAAATTTCATACGTCATGATGTTACGTGACACTTGACGATTTTTTTTTTCATAAACTTCGGCAGATAAACCTTATTCTGTGCTAAAACTGAAATCACTCATTGTCGATCTGACCGCTGCGCTGAGGGACAACTTCTTTCCCTGTCCCGGCCCAGGAGCGCGTCCCCCGTGGCCCTGGGCGAGTGGCACACGGCGCGGGCGTCGCGGACGGGCCGGCTGGGCAGCCTGTCGGTGGACGAGCAGCCCCGCGTGGAAGCCCACTCACCGGGGGCCTTCACCCAGCTTTCGCTGCCCCTTAACCTGTACCTCGGAGGGGTGCCGGACCCCGGGGAGACTGCCGCGGGTGCCGCCGTGCTGCAGTCCTTCGTCGGTTGCGTGCAGAGGGTGAGTTGATCGGCGATCTCTCGCGTCGAGTCGGGCCAGCGAGAGTCCGTTCACCCAGTCACTTCGGGCCATACCGCCTAGAAGACAAGCCCTGCGCCTGACGTCGTTAACAGATCCCCCGACCCGTTCAAAGCGACGACGACGCTGAAGCTCGGACGAGAGAGACTTTAAAGCGACAGACGCGTCTGTCTTGGTGACGTCGCGTGCTAGCGTCGCGCTCGTTAGGAGGCGCTTCGAGGTTCTCCTATTATTGCTTAGGGCATGGTTGTGGGTTTTGGTCTCAAGCCTGCGGTTGCTGGCCAGTACTAATACCTACTTGGTAGAGTTTAGCCGATGGCTTTTTACTAGCTAGAACTAGAGTAGCTAAACGACGGAGCCATGAGTATCGCATTTGTTTTCCTTTTTCCACCGACTCCTCATTGGCGGAGAAAGGGTCACGTACACAGAACAATACTTTAACAAATTGTTTGCTGAACGCACGTGCGCGCGAATTCAAACGAGAGGGTTACTGCGAGCGCACCACGGCGCAAACGTTGGCCAAAGTCGCACGCCGCACGCCGCGCGCCGTCTCCTGCAAGACCAACGGTTACTTCCCCGTAGCACTACAAGAATAAAAAAAAACAAAAAAAAACGTTGCTATACTTTTTTTTTGCACTGGAGCATATACAGTTACTCCAGTGAAAACAAGCTCAATTCTCAACAACGCAAAATGGCACGTTATCTTTTCTTGAGAAACTGGCATGGTTCGTGCATCAGAACAGAGGAGGGTACATAGCGTTTCCCGATAGCCAGAGGCACCAGATTCTTAGTGACTGTAAAATGTCGGCGTCTATTGAAGACTGGCGAGTTCTTCCAGTATAAGCGGTTCTACTTGTTGTAAAAAAAATCCCGACATTTGTATCTCCAATATACAAGGACGTTGCTGTTGTTGTTTACGAGAGCTTTTGGCTTTGACCTAAAAAGTCGATTTGGCAAAGTCTTCGTGAATTAAGGACAAGCTGGCTTTTTCTTCTCTCTTCGTTTGCCATGATCGAAATTTAGGTCGCTTGCATCCATTTCTCTCTATACTCCTTGTGGCGGTTCCACGCTGGTGCACTCTCTATGCCCCGGTGCGGCATTCACGTTTCCTATTATAATTATTTAGAGTTAACGTTTTGGCTTCCATTTTCTATTCCTACCAAAATAAAGAATTCTGTCACCACGTTGGCGTACGAATTAAAATCAATGAATTCATTACTTAGTTATGTGTTTAATTAATTGTGTAATTAAATATTTAATCTTAATTATAATTAATTGAATAATATTTTATTGAGTTCCACTCCATTGCTTGCTTTTCCGCACCAGTGAGGCAGCGGATGAGGGACGGGATGAGATTGAAGATATCTAAAAGGCGTTCCGAATCTTCGCCTCCCTGGTACATAGAAGGAGAGAGTCCAGGTTCGCTTTGCAAAGCGGATTCTAATAAAAACATTAAAAAATCAGCGAGATACGTGCGGTGTACACTTTCCAAAGCACTCCACCAAAAAGGTTCCGCGGCGTCCTTTTCACTTGACGTACACCATTCCGACGTTACGCACCAACCCAAACCTCTGACGTCACTCCCCTGCAGTGGCGTTGCCGTCGGCAGTGCGCATGCGCGGACGTTTCGTCTCCTGCGGTTTCTGCGCACGCGCAGTGCCCGGTGTGGGCAAAAGCGGGCTTGTTTCTAAAGAACTTTCAGCCTTTTTACTCTCGTGAAGAAGGAAGACCAGCGGAGCTTTACTCGATACACTGTGTGCTTCTTCTTCGTCGTCGTCTGTTTTGCGCACTGTTTCCTACGATGAATTCCCACCAACGCGCCCAACTATTCATTACTTTATTATAGCTGGAAAGGTTGCGCCATCTACGAGCGACGGCGGAAACCATACTGGTTGTATGCTTGCCGCCGTCGCTTATAGATGGCGGTAGCTGTCCAGGTAGGTTTGTGTCGACATACAGGACACGATCCTGGGGGAACCTACCCCTTAACAACTCCGCTGTAAAAAAAGAAAAAAAAAGAAAAAGAAAAAGCGCTTTGGTGTATATAGTGATGGTTTGTCGCCGGCGTGCCCAGCTGACGATCAACAACCGTCCTCTGCGGCTGATGCAAGAGGCGCTGTCCGGCGTGAACGTGGCCAACTGCGTGCACCCTTGCGTGACGGGCCCCTGCTACAACGGGGGCGCCTGCCAGCCCCGCATGGACCTCTACTCGTGCCACTGCAAGCTCGGCTACGCGGGATCAAACTGCCAGACCGGTACGACCCGCCATCGAAAAACCTCGATTCCTTAAACGGGAATCACATTTCCTATAAAAAGGTCCGAAGGGCCTCGATATACAATAGAGTATATCACAAAATAAACTTTAAAAAAAATAATGTCGCGAAATATTTACGTCCCGAGTCCAAATCGAAACCCAATTATACGCTTGTGTTTAGACAGCGTCGGCCTGCCTTTGAGGTATGGCGACGCTGGTTTACGCAGTTGATGATAAATGTATTGCCAGTGCGGAATGACTGCTAGCCTGAGGCCTTTAACGAGCGCTACGCATTGCGCCCGCACGTCGCGAGACGTATTTTGATTTAGAAGCTATCTCGATACCTGCATCTATTTCGGAGCTTGTTATCGAAATCGCTCAAATTGGTCTTGCAACTGAAAAAAACAAAAATATGTATTACTTTATTTGTTTGTTTTTGTATTAGAAAACAGTTAATTTTGTGACATACTTCTTCAGCAGTTCAGTGTCCATCTAAGTTTGCCATCGGGAAGGCTCCTTAGCCGTCGTAGGAAAACGCTCTTCGTTTGTGTCACTCCCCGAACATGTTGTACAAATTTGCAGAAGTCAAGGAGGCCATAGCGGAGCCGATGATGGGGGGAGCGAGCTACCTGCACTACACGTCGGACGACATCATGAAAAGGCAAGTTGAAGTCGCTCGGCGATCGCCTATACGGTAGCATCTACGCGAAGTACAGCACAAAAATGCGAGGGTTTCGTGACTGGGCCATGAACGGTGTGTGTGGGCTGACAACACGGGCATCAAAGAGGTCTGTTGTCACCTGCAAACCATGCAGGGCCACGTGCGTGTCTCAATCAATCCTTTTGAGACGTGTCACGCGGAGACCAGTTCTTCTCACTCGGGTTAACTGCGGTTCAAACATAAGCGTCTACATAAAAGTAATCCGTCGTCGGCAGACAACTGCCGTTTATCATCATAAAATGTTCTTGTTGTCTTGACATTGATAATCGAAGCGCCAGCTCTCGTGGCCAGCAGACAATTGATAAAAGTGCCATATCGGGCATTCTTGTGATACCGTGGTATCATTATGCCGCGATATCACACAAATGTGCGAATATTTTACGGCAGATATTTGTTGACAGCTTAGGTCTATAGTTGTACGTATACGGTTTCAACTATTGTTTGCCGATGGCAATAAGCACCCGCTAACTATGACCTCACTCAATCACGGGGGACCTGGAGCGACAAGTGGTCTTTGGGGACCCGAGGGAACCTAAGCCCCGAGGTTCCGACTTTCTAGGGTGGGATTCGTATGGCTAGCGTTTATAGCATTCGTCCTCGGTAATATTCCTAAAGTTCGGAGCCCTGACTGAGTTAGGTCTCCTAGGGTCCGTATTCCTGAAATTCGGATTTCTGGGGTTCCCTCATTCCTCAAGTGCTGACTTCTAACCACCGAATTCAGAAACCTCACTCAAACTACACTCAGACTGAAGGGGCCCTCGCGCCTTCCTCGAGGAAGTGGAGGGGCCCTTCAGTTTGAGTGTAGTTTGAGTGAGGTTTCTGAATTCGGCGGTAAGGCTCATATTCCTAAAGTTCGAATTTCTAGGGTCCAGATTCCTAAAGTCTGGATTTTTATGGTTCAGAAGCGCGGACTTCTAGAGGTCGTAATTCTAAACTTGGAATTTTTTGGACTCGGATTCCTAAAGTGCGGACTTCTACGGTTAGGGTTCTTAAAGCTAAAATTTCTAGAGTTGGGGCTTGCCGACTGGACTCCAGGATCCCCGGCCAACTCCGCTGAGTCGAGCCGGCCAACGCTTGTACAGGATCCGCGGCGACAGGCTCGAGGTGCAACTGGCCTTCCGATCCTTCTCGAGCCACGGGCTCCTGCTGTGGGCCGGAGACGCCGAGCAGCGGCCGGCCTCGGACTTTGTCTCCCTGGGCCTGGAGAAGGGACAACTCACGCTCCGCTACAACCTGGGCTCGGGCGAGGCGGCGCTCACCTGCAACGCTAGCCGCGTGGACGACGGGCGCTGGCACTGGGCACACCTGTCCCGAAGCCAGCAGGCCGCCACCCTTGCACTGGACAAGTCCGCTCCGGTCGCGGTGTCGGCACCGGGCCGTCTGAGGCAACTCAACGTGCACAGCGGACTCTACGTCGGTGAGTTCCTTCAACAATGTACCGGACGTCTCTAAAAAAAAAGAAAAAAAAGAAATGTCATGTTTCTTTTTTTTTACATATAGGAATCTTGTGAAGTAAATAGTGAATCCCCAGCACAGAGTGCCCCTATAGAAGCCCTGAAAATACAAGGTATCCCCGAAAAGAATTACAGTATTTGTTTTTCCTGTTTTTTTTTTTTTTTTTGCTGTTGTTATTTTTTCCAGAACTTACCGTTTTGTTTTTAAGCAATTTTCGGAAATTTTTAAAGAAAAATGGTGGCCGACAAATGCCCACGAGTACATAGGAATAAATAGCGACGGGGAACGGGCCACATTTTTTCAATTGAGAGTTTCAGAAGATCACATTACTTTTAAACAAGCTTAGTCGATTAGTATTGAAACTTTGGTATCTAGTCCGAACCACTAGGACTACCCTTGTCCGTAGACTGGGCGTTCGGTGGTACGTGAATCATTTTTCTAATAAAAAAGACAGCATTTTGTTTATAAGAAACAAAAAGGTGTGTGTGTTTGTGTGTGTGTGTGTGTGTGTGTGTGTGCGCGTGTGTGTGCGTGTGCGTGCGTGCGTGCGTGCGTGTGTGTGTGTGTGTGCGTGCGTGTGTGCGTGTGTGCGTGTGTGTGTGTGTGTGTGTGTTGGGGGGAAGGGGGGGGGGGCAGGTTGTACGTAGGACACAATACATCAGCGTTGAGTATTGCTGAAGCGTTGGAATCCGTGAGGAGCGGTCTGCAGGTTGAGATTGGGCCAACTCTTTGAAGACCAAATCGTCGAAACTTTACACGTCGAAGGCCCACTCGTCGAATAAGCCAACTTGTGGAAAAGGTCAATCGGTCGAAGGGCAATTTATCAAAGGGCCGAAAGAAGGTAATTCAAACATGGATTGTGGTTCAAAACCATCAACCTTTTAAGATACATCTTGGCTCATTTGAACAATCAGAGAGCAAGAAACGCCAAAGACGCACTCTTCGTGCAACTCAGATCCTGCGTTTATTACAGCGAAGCTCTTCATGACACACAGGTCGGATTTCTGGAATGTTTTCGTGTCGTCATCCTCACAGAGAAAAAAAAGCCCTTCAGCGATTGAAGCGAAAAGGGCATACATCACGCATACAACATACAGCACAGCATTCGTTTCAATAAATAACAAGCACAAAGCAAGCATCCGAACAAGATAGTCGATGATCAGGCACTCCTGATAACAATGTGGAGCACGTAGTGCTCACCGCATACGTTTCGCGGTAAAGATTACTGTTGCGCAAGCTGCGGCGGCGACGGCAGCTTGCGACTTGGGGAGTGGCGTCACTAGCCTTCGATATTATAAGACTCTTGCGCTATTTACAAACTTGAACTGCCGCTTGCGTCCCAAGCGACTTCCGGTCTATCCGCCTTGCACGCCTGTCAAGCTTGCTTATGTAACCAGCGCTAGAAAGCATAAATGCTACACGGACGACGAAGTTGGACACTTAGCGAGGGCCTTTGGCTGTACAGTCTAATGTCTTGGAGGAGGCAAGTTGGTTTACAAGAATATCCGAAAAAACTTTTAATAAATCTTGCGCTTATAAAGTCGAAGTTTTCGGGATAGTCAAAGACTGGAGTGCCGCCTGGTGGCGTTTGGAATGAAAAGGGTCTATATAAAGCGTTTTCGTACAGTGCCTCTACTTTTCTTTCGTCAATCATTTGGTATAGTGCAGAGGGCAATCGTTGCAGACGATACCACAGTTTCGCTGGCCAGCCGCCTTCACAGCGTGGATTGGCGCCCCAAATTGCTTGTTGAAAACCGACACGTTACGAATAAAGCTATTCTATAGTTTTACATTTCTATTATCACTGAGTTGCTTACACAAGTTGGCGGTAACTCGTATCATCGAAGTGTTCATAATCTGCTGTACACGTGAAACTAATAATGTGTTATATGACTCACTAAATATGTCCAATTTGTCTGCGTCCCCGCAGTCTGCACCTTTTTGAAAAAAGAAATGTTTGACATGTGCACCTGCTGGAGTAACGTCTTATTTTTATTGAGACAGTCCCCACGTCGCCCCGAGAAAGCGTTATTGGAGGGGAACAATGAAAAACCTTTTGATTTGTCACAGACCTATATGAAGCAAGAAATTGAGCAAAGCGCACCGTGGTTATGCAAATTACAACCTACGGGAATCGCTTATAATCATTTACATTCGTGCTCGGATACAGAAGCTAAATGTAATGATCAAAAAGTGGCAACCAGATTGTCCCTTCGACGAACTGCCCTTCGATGAGTTGGCCTATTCGACTAGTTGGCGTTCGACGAATTTTCAATCGACGGGTTGGCTTTCAACAAGTTGGCCTAGACCACTGCGGGTTAAGCTGTTCTCTTCCCCACGCAGGCGGAGTTGGTGACGTCAGCCACGTGACTCGTGGTCGCTACAAGTCGGGCCTGGTGGGCTGCGTGGCCAATCTGACTCTGGCCACGGATCTGCACGTCCGCCTCGTGTCCCACGCCGCCACGGGCATCAACGTGCAACCCTGCCTGTGAAAGCGTCTCGCTTCTCCGACGCTAAAACCCACGCAAGTGCCAGGCCAGTCGCAGCACCGCGACCTCGACGTCGTGTTCTGTAGATACGGCAGAGACTGTGTCCGTTCGGTGAAGACGTGCGCCGAGAGGCTTCTTGAAGACAGTTCCCGTAGTCAAACAGTCAAACGTGGACTGCGCACGCGAGCACCCCGATGACCGTGCCGTGGACATCGGGTAGACGTCTTCAGAGAGCCGTCTGTTGGCTGCCTCGCGGTCGTGTGATCGGCATCTTGGTGAACAGCAGAGGGACATCACTCTCGCTAGGCGTCTCGGTCAGGAAAAGACGTTGAAAAGAAGATGTTTGCCGGAGGTTGATTGAGGTTCTCTCGACCATGGAGGATGGCGATGGTACTTCCGCATGGGTCGGCTCAGCCATAAAACGTTACTCGAGGACAATTCACTGCAGAACTCTCACGTTGTGCTTTAGATTAGGTCCCAGCCCTCTGGTGCAACGGGATTATTGTACTGAGAAGACCAGCAAAAAATGTATATCCAAATGCTTAGCTGGTCCACGATACTAGCTAAGTGCGGCTGACGAGTTGTGGTTTTGCGATATAGTTACTACCTACTACTTCTACTCTCAGGCTTCGAGACGACTTCGCGGACGTTGTAAGAGGCGTGTAGCGGCTACCACGAGTCTGCGGCCCAGAGTAGCGCAGGCTCCTCCGGGACTGGTATACGCCTGGAGCATGTCTCCGACTGGTATGTTTTCCGCGTCCTAAAAAGCGGTCTACCGAATTCCGCCTGATGACGTCACGGCAGTCCGGCATCTGTGACGTCATTGATCGCCACTTGGGGACCACTTTTGATGTACGAGCGCGGGATAGAATGCTAAACACGCCAGTCGAGGAGGCGTTCCAGGGTAGCGTCGGTACCCAGGGGGACTGCCAAGCGGGCTCCGTGAAGCGGGCGCGTGGCCTTTCTCTCCCCGTGGTGTTGTCCCCTCGACGCGTGCAACCCTTCTGCACCCACCTATTGTGATACTACTGACTCCGAGACCAAACCACCCCGCCGCGGCGTCGACCGTGTGTGTGTGTGTATGTGTGTGCGTGTGTCTGAGCTTGCGCGCCTGACTGTTAGAAGAAGCCGGCCTGGAATGTATGCATGCGACCGACCGGCGGTCGATTCATCGAAGCAGCACAAGGCGTGATCCTGTCACTGTAGCAGGCACCGTAGAGCTGGAAGTAACCGTGCCTCTATCTCTCTCTCTTTCTCTCTACTCACTGGGAAGGACCACTAGCAGCCCCTGAATGTTCGTTAGTCTGCGCTGCAAGCCACGCGTCGATTTGGGGAAGTACTCCAGGTCTGTCGCGATATGTTCAGTGTTTTGTTTTCCCTGCTTGTATTTTCTTTTGTACGTACCACATACGGTACGATCGTCATAGAAGAAAGTGTAGGGGAAGAATGAAACGCAGTTATCTTCTACGTGACCTATCATCCTTCAGAGCTTCTTGCCGTTCTCAGTACAGCCATCACTTAGTACGGTACAATCTCATCGAAAGGAACATGAGTAACTTCAAAATAAAAGGGGTTCAAATCTAAAGAATTGCCGTCGACATACCATGTGTAGGTAAATAACTGTCAGACAACAATTATCGCTGAAATTTTAGAAAGGACTCGACGACCTTTTGCTCGGTCGCACCATCTTCAGTGTCAAAGTTTTTGCCACCCATAGTGCTTTTGGCGTGCGCACATGCTTCAGGCATGCAAATATCAAAAGCAACATTGAAGGTAGAGGCCTTTCAGTTGTAAGGCTGTCATCGAGCACGTTGTTAATAGTATTCCAAAATGCGAGAAAAAAAATCTGAATACTATCAAACAGAGGTAATCTATCTCTCCAGTCAAAACACAGTAGTACCTTCAAATAATTTGCAGAAAAGATTGCAAACGTGTCTAGTCGTATGAGAGAATATTTGGCTAATATGTGATACATTCTCCTCCGGTGAAAGTAAAGTAACCCACGAGGTGAAAACATAACCACTGGAAAAGTCAGTACACCGCGCTTGGTTGATTTGCTTTTACCGGCCCTGGCACTGCGATGCGCGCTAGTTTTGTTTCATAAACTTCGTACAGCCTCTCCTTTGTACGAACGCTCGTACAACCAAAGCACAAACCAAAGCCACGCGCTAGTCATTCGACCACGTTTACGTGAGAAAGAACGTAGGTTTTCCAGCGTGCTTCATAAGTTCACATAAATCTATGCAGAGGATAGAGTAACATCATATGGACCCGAGGCCGGACACAGGAAACGACGTCATGAAGGAAGTCGAGAGGCAATGACACAGATCGTAATCACTTTTGGGAACACAGTAGGTTACAGGTGGTATTACGCACCCCTTCGTGTACAAGCGAATATGGCGTGGCTAAGGAACGCTACTTCTCTGCGACACTGCGGAAGTTTGTGACGTCTGCGTTTCGGCACGAGCATTCAGGTTACGCTAGCTGAGATTTTTCTAGCACTTCACAAGCTGAAGACATCACAGCTGCCATATCAAATAGACTCTGATAGTCGACTCGGTTCGCCCCTGTTGTTTACATAATTTGCATACTTTAAAGGGTGGCTGAGTACGCGTCACGGATGCACTAGAGAGCAGCTATACCCGCAGCAAACGCACCACTATTCGAACCGCCACTTCCTGCCGCGGCAATAGACCGGATGCAAAAATCCCAGGAGGCAGCGCGAGAAGCGCTACGAATTATGGGAGCGTTCTATACACCAACTCAACTCTCCAACACCGCACCACTGCGGTGGCGCTGCTGTCGGCACTGCGCACGCCGACAGCAGCGCAGCGCAGTGCTTCGCCTCATACAAATATCGTTTCTGCGCGTGCGCAGTGCCCACACCTTGTGTGGAAAAACGCGGGATAGTTTCTAAACAGCAAGTTGGTGTATATTCTCCTTCTTGGGAGAAGGTAGCGCAGTTGCGCGCCTGCCTTCGTCCGCATTGCCTCTTTCGTTAGCTACGGCCCGTTCCCAGAATTCCGGCGCCGCGGAGGGGCGCTGCACGTTTTGCAACAGGTCTATTGCGCTGCGGCAGTTTTAAGTTCAGGAGCGCGTTATAGCTTCCTAGCAATGACGGTATACACGTCAGTGTTTTGTTGGCTGCTAACATATCAGCTCTTGTAGACGGCAGGCCGTAGTCGCTCGAACATGGGGCCGGCCATGTTGTGAGAACCGCGGCAATGTAGAAGAAGCACATGCCGGAAGTACGATGGCGATCCTGGCGGAGGTGTCGTGCAGCTGCCTCCACGCCACAGCACTCTGGTGTCATGGACCCACCAGGCCGAGATGTGTACTGTCGCTTTCTTTGTGACGAGTAAAGATCGATCGACCGATGAACTGATTTGGTCTCCCTCACTTTTTGTACTTATCTTATTGGTTTCGTTCGTTCTGTTGTTTTCGACGAACCTGAGCGAAATGTGAATTAGCGGTTTCTGTTATGTCTGCCGACAGACGCGGAATGTTGTACGCGCTGAATATTATTCGAAAGAATCGGTGGAAATAAATTATCGCCGGAAATTTCATAGACCACTGATTTAATTTTTTTTTTTTTTTTTTTCAAATTGTCTTACGAATAGAAACGAAAATGTTCATATGAAACGTTGGTCGTAATAAGGCATTCCTCTTGGAGATATGCGGCCAGAAAAGTTTGGGCCATGCAGGAAGTGGGGAGTGTAATAGTTATGTTCCACAAAGTGCTCCCAAAATATTTACAAATTTCATTTTTTTTATCGAAAAAATAAATTACGCGTCCCCGAACGCTGATTCTCCGCCCGAATGTAGCTCTAGCGGTCTAAACCAGATGCCAAAGTTTCAACACCAACCGTTATCACATCCAAAGTTATAAATGATTTACTGAAATTTTCAATTGGAAAATGGAGGCCGATGCAGCTCTCGAATGCATGGAGGTGAATAGATGTCAGTTACCAAAAACGGGTGAATACTGGCACCGTTCTACCATTGAAGTCAACAGGGAATCACTTATTACTTCTGAATGAAATGACCGTTAGTTCTAAAACTTTGGCATCTGGTTCGACGAGTTGAAACATGAAAGTTGCTTTGTATGGCTAATGCTAGAGTCACTGAATGTTCCCAGAGTACCGAAACTTCCCGACTCGAGGTGCCAAGATGGCGCCTCAATCTATTTTCATTACTGTGGTCATCATGAGCTTTAAGAAAACATGATTTTCCGTAAAACCAAACGTAAAAAGCTCTTACTGTTGGAAATTTTAATGGAGGTTAGTGCAGAATGAAAAGAGCGTGCATAAAACTTAGGTTTACAGGGGTTTGCGGCACAGGCTATCTTATTTATTATTAGCACTATCTCTCGGCGGCCGTGCGCACTTACGCGCCATCTTTGAGGCTTCCCGGCCCGCCGTCCCGGCTCTGCCTGCGTAGCATTCTGTGCGCTAGGTCTAATGACGTTGCTTTTTTAGGGGGGTGTGGTAATGGTGTTAGTATTTCGAAAAATATTATATTAGCAACCGCTGCGTTGCATTCGTTGAGAATGACTGCAACGACTCCAATGAGCTAGTCAGCGGAAAAACTGCCGTGCAGAACAAGCAATGCAAGAATCGTGAGACGATCATGAACCGCTGTTTTTGTTGTTGCTCTCGTGTTGGCGGTTGCGAACGCAACCGATTCAAATGTGTGAATCAGCCTTCAATGCGTTAATGTGGAGTGCCACATATCGAGAAAATTTGAGAGCCCGCAGTGGAAATAGGCGGCTCTGTCATTTTGACACTCGGAGGCTCCAAGTAAAACGCTACAATTATTTCAAGATTCTTTCTAAGAAGTTCCGCTTTAAAATGGAAAACAAAACAATTCGTAAATCTAATTTGTTTGGTTTGTTATTTTCTCGTTGGCCGCACAACGAGACATAATAGAAGTGTGGCATCACGTTCAACCTTCAGCAGCGCTCTGCCCGCAGCCTCAGACATCGGTCACCATGTTTGAGGCTGCTGAAAGAGATTGGCGCAACGTACGACAGATGGAGCTCGAATCTGAGTGAGTTCTATGAATATTGTTTTTATACAGCCATGATTCACCGGTAGACTCTGGTAGCGCGTCCAGACCTGGGTGCGTCTAACTTCGGTGATTAAATGCGGCGCGTCCATTTGGGAGACGGGGCTTGGCAGCCTGAAACCCTTTCCGCCCTATACGTTTCGGCTCCAAAATGGCCGATCAAAGCCAAAGTTGAAGAGTAACAGCGGACGCTATCCAATGCGATACTCTGACTACTGCGAAAAGGCGCCACCGGCCCTTGCGCGACGCAACCTGAACGAATATGTGCAGCCGTGCAGTTCCATGAGTTGCCGCTGCGGGAGAAAGGGCGGCGTTGCGATCGCCATTAGTTCGGTTCTCCAGTACGGAGGTTGCGACCGTCATCAGTTCGGTTCTCGAGTACGGGAAGACGGACCGGCAGCGTGCGGCGCGAGAGAGGTTGCGAGTTTTTGCCCTAGGAACCGGAGCTCTTGGGTGAGCGTTGCATGCCTTGGCGATCGCCTCCTCCGCTAACTCGAAAGACGTCCATTTTTTTTTTTTTATATCTCCCCCGTGGCCCATTTTTTGAGCCAAGAAGGGGACGAAGCGCTAGGCCTAACGGCTAGGCCTAACGCGGCCATGCTGTCACTGAACGGCATGGAAGATTCGAGAGGCGACGAGCATACTCGCACGCGTGACGAGGATATCCGTAGATGCTTGGAAGCTATTGCAGGACAAGAGCAAGGGAATGATGACGGAAAAGGAAATTCTCCGACTACGCGAAATGAATGGCAAACCGCAAGCGGCAAGCAACGCAAGTCTAAGCTAGAGAGGGAGTTCACCGCGGCGGTAAGGAACGAGAACAAGACTCGCACGGTTGTGACTATAGGATGCAAAACCTTGACGCGAAGAGTGTCGCAGGCTCTCAGCTCTTGAATGTAATTATCAAGGCTGCCGGAGTGCATGTCACGACGGCGCACCTCGAAGATAGCTTCCGGATCAATAGCAGAAGCAACACGGTATCCATACTTACAGACAACTTAGAAGGAGCACGCAAGTATGCAGAAATTAAAGACTTTACCCTCCACGGCAAGAAAGTCGAGGTGTACGGGCACGGAACTACCCCCGGCAGATTTCGCCGTATCGTCGTTCCGAGATTGCTTGACCCTTCAGAGGACGTTAACGAAGCCGAAATTCTGGAGCACCTCATCAGGTGTAACCCACATACGGCCATCATAGATGCCAAACGTTGTGGTCGGTTTGCCTTGCTGCATACCCGACCCGGAGGAATAACACGGAGCCAACGGTTTCAACAACAAGAAACTACATTTAATTGGACATGGACAAGACGATTAACATTGCTACCGGCGCTGCCGGAGTCCAGGCAGCGACTCTCCGTGCGCCGCCTCTGATCTGCCTTATCAAGGCGGCGCATCCGATGTGCGCGTGGCTGGCGTGACGTCGCCGCCACGCGGGAAAAGTTCGGCTTGAGCCTCGCAGTCGGGCAACTTGGCTTGGGAGCCGCCAGGGTGCCCACACTTCCCCCCCCTCAAGCTTCGTCCGGCATGTCGATGACGGAGACGTTGTGGGCGTCAGGGGGTGGATGGCGCTGTTGGGCGGACTGACGTTTAAGTCCGGCCGGCGCCTGCTGGACGAGCGCGGCGGCTGCTGACGAGCGCGGCGGCTCGGTCAGCTCCAGCTTGTCGCTTGTTCGGGATCAGGGCTCCACCAGGTGGCTGCTTTGCCCGTGGTCCTGTAGAGGGTGGCCGCGGTCCACGATGAGACCGGCCGCCGTGTCGTTCAGATGGCGGGTGTGGCGACGGTTTTGTCCATGAGTCAGCTTCGTAGAAAACATGGAAGCAGACGACATGGGACTCAGTTGAGGGCTGAGCCTGACGTTATTTTCGGACCCCTTCCAGAAAGTTTGAAATAACGGATCTGAGGTGGGCACACAATCTTCTCCCCCCTCTCTTGAAAAAGGGGCAGATCCGTGGAAGTAGAAAACTACCCCCAAAATGCGAAAGAGGCCAAGGAGACAAAAAAAAAGTTCCTCTCTCTTTGGTGTCACCGACGTCGCAGGTTATACCGCCGCCTTGGTGGAGACAAGGGGGTTTCCGGAACGGGACTGCCGTCAGTGTCGTTCCGGTCCTGCGAGGAATCTTCGTCTTCTGCTTGGAAAAATCGTTTAAGGTCGGTGACATGAACAGGTCCGGTTTCCTCACTAGACTCACAGTTAACTAGTTTGTAAGTGAGTGGCGAGCACTTTTCACGCACGCGAAACGGACCTTCCCACCTGTTGGCGAGGGAGGCTGCGAAGCCTCGAGCGGCGTCACTCAGTGGGTGAGTACGCCGGAGTACAAAATCTCCCACCTCGAACTGCAAGTCACGTCGCCCCCGGTTGTACTGTTCAGCCTGCTGTACCCGGGCGACGTCGAGATTTTCTCTGGCCTCTCGAAGGTTATCGGAGAAGCGCTTTCGCAGGTCCTCTGCGAACTTCACGTAGGGGCGAGGCCTTCCTCCAGACTCTGTAGAAAGGAGGCTGTTAGAAAGCGGGAATGCGAGCTCCTTGCCGAAATTTAATTGGGCAGGAGTGAGACCCGTTGACCGATTAGTGGTTGTACGGGTCGCGAATGCCAGCTCGGGCAGTTTCGCGTCCCAGTCCTTGTGGCGCTCGGTGTAGGCCACTAGCATCATCTTAAGGTTTCGATTTACCCTTTCCGTGATGTTTGCTTGCGGGTGGTACGGGGAAGTTCTTTTGTGTTTGATTCCCAGTACCGCGCATGCGTCCACAAACACCTTACTCGTGAAATAGGAGGCATTATCGCTTACAAGCTGTGCAGGAAAGCCAAACCTAGCGAATGTTTCGAGTAGACACTCCCAGATTTTTTGCGAATCTAGCTTCCGCAATGGAAATAACTCAACCCACTTCGTGAAGTGGTCGGTTACCACGAACAAGTACTGATTGCCCCGGGTACTACGTGGGAAGGGGCCCATGACGTCACAGCAACAAATCTGCCAAGGGCTCTGACTCGCGATTGGTTGCATGAGACCGGGGGGCTGGCCACCACGTGGTTTTGCCTTCTGGCACACCGAGCAGCTACGAGCGTATCGGAGCACATCCTGCCTCATGCCTGGCCAGGTAGCAATTTGGGATAACTTTTCGTAAGTCTTGCTCCCACTGCTGTGTCCTGCCAAGGCAGAGTCATGCATGTATCGGATGAAAAGCTTACGTAGCTTGCGGGGTATCACGGTCCGGAATGCCGAGCCATCCGGATCGTCGTCGGCCTGGGGGATGTAGCGCAGCAGGAGGCCGTCGTCGCTCATCAAGTAGGAGTCGAACTCCTCGTCACTTGGGCGGTCGACTGGACCTCTTGCTGCCAGCCAAGCGGACACGCGTTGGCAGAGTCCGTCATCCAGCTGCGCCTTGCGAAGCTCCTCGCGGCTCACCAATGTACCCCACCGTGAATCTGGGGATCCTCGTGTCGTGGCCGCGACGGTCACCAAGCCATGGGTATCCTGCGAGTGTTCCTCGGGAAGTGGAGCACGAGAAAGCGCATCAGCAACTTTGTTAGTTGACCCCGGGCGGTACACAATGGAGTAGTCGTACTGTTGTAGCGTAAGCGCCCAACGAGCAAGACGTCCAGCTGGATTCTTAAGGCCCCTTAGCCATGATAGCGCTAAGTGATCAGATTGAATTTGGAACGTTGCGCCATCTAGGTACATATCGAAGCGCTTCAAAGCATGAATAATGGCGAGACATTCACGTTCTGCGACACTGTAGTTGCGCTCGGCTGGAGTTAGCGTGTGGCTCGTGAAAGCAACTGGCCGAAGCACACCGCCATACTGCTGCAGCAAGACAGCACCCAGGCCACAGTCGCTTGCATCTGTCTGCAGAACGAACGGCTTGTTCAAGTCTGGGAGCTGTAAACAAGCGTTGTCAGTCACGGCTTTTGAAAGGGCTGCGAATGCGCATTGTTGTTGTTCGGACCAACACCACTTGACGCCTTTTTTTAGAAGGTGATTGAGCGGTTGCGATATCTCGGAACAGTGTGGAATGAAATCCCTGTAGAACGCAATCATTCCGAGGTATCTTTGTAGGCTCTTTACGTCATGTGGGCTTGGGTATTCCGTTAGCGCGCGCAACTTATCTTCGTTGGGGCGGAGCGTGCCGTTATCCACAACGAATCCAAGGAGGTTAATCTTGGGCGCGGCTAACTGAACCTTTCCAGGATGAATCGTGAGCCCAGCATTACGCATTCGCTCAAGTATAATGCGAAGGTGCTCGACATGCTCTTCGATAGTTCTCGAGAAAACAACCACGTCATCCATGTATGCCATGGCAAATTCGTACTTCGAGTTCCCAAGTACAACATCCATCAGGCGTTGAAAACTGGCTGGAGAGTTAGACAAGCCAAACGGCAGTCGGGTGAACTCGAACAACCCTCTGTGGCAGATGAAAGCCGTTTTTGGAACGTCTGATGGGTGAATCTCGATCTGAAGGAACCCGCGACTGCAATCCAGCGTTGTAAACACGGTCGCGTTACCGAGCGCGTACATCACGGAGGAAATGCTGGGGAAAGGGTAGCTGTCTCGTACGGACACATCGTTAAGCCGCCTGTAATCCACACAGAGTCTGGCTGTTCCGTCTTTTTTCGGGGCGAGAACAACGGGGAATGCCCAGGGGCTCTTCGACTCACGTACTGAACCGGTGTCGATCATTTCCTCGAGCGCCGCATCAAGGAGTGCCCTTTTGTGGACGCTGATCGGTCGAGGGTTGCACCTCCGAGGCGCCGCGTCACCGGTTTCAATGCGGTGCAGCAGAATGTCAGTCTTTCCAGGTGTTTCCGTGAACATCGGTGAGAAAGACTCCAGGACGGCTTGCAGCACCTGCTTCTGCTGGCTGCTTGCGGGGCACTTTCGCAACGATTCTCGAACGCCGGCAGGCAAGACGTCGGGCACCGTGGTGAAGTGGGCTGCAGTGGTCGAGTTAGGGATGCAGTCCTCCCTTTTGGTAAATGGAGTCAGCTCCGGTTGTTGTCCCAGCCGGTATCCACCACCAGAAAAGTCGAGTGTCATGCTTTCGCCTGTAATGAAATCTCGGCCCAAGATCACGGGTACCACAAGTCCTGGCATATAAAGAAATCGCTGACGTCGCTTCTTTCCATTAAACCGAATCTGCAGCCTCACGGCTCCTCCAGCTGTTATCGCTGTACCAGAAGCTAGCTGCAAACGGGTTTCGCACTCCCGGAGGCTTATCTTTTTTGCTTTGCAGAGTTCGAAAACGAAATCCCCTATGAGCGAGATAGCGGCCCCAGAATCCAAAAGTGCGGCAATGGGAAAATCGAGCAGTGATATTGTCATGCGCGGTTCAATGATGTTAGGCTCGGGCTGGATTTGACATACCGATGGAATCTGTGCAACGGCCTCACTGCTCCCAGGGACTGCAACGGCCGTCGGCGAGTGGCTGTCTGGTTTCAGCGTCGCCGGCCGTAGTAGTTTCCCTGGTTCTGGTTCCGGCCCTTTGCCGCCGTCTCGTGCCACCTCTTGTTTGTAGTGTCCGGAAGTCTTGGACACTGGTTTCGGTGATGGCCGGGCTGCTCGCACTCGTAGCAGCAGTCCGACGACAGTTGCCTGCTTAGGCCACCGGCACCGAGGTGCCCGTCGGACCGCCTCCAGTGATCGGATAAGGAACCACTATGGGAGGGCCTCCACCAGGCTTGCGACTGGCTGTTGTGGGGAGGGCTTGTTCCGTTGCGGCGGGGGTCAATGCTGCTGGGCTGCGGGTTTGCGACCGCACCGTGCCAGTTTTCGCCAGCACTTGCAGGAGCAGACTGATGAAGATGGTTCGCTTGGGTGGTGATCTCCGTTGGGCCCCAGCTTGCGATAGGGCACGGCCAACGACCTCCCACCTGTCGTGGCGACCCCCGCCCGAAACCCTCACGGGCCTCGCTGTGACCTCCGGGGACCTCTCGGGGAGAGTTAGGCGAACATACGCTTATCCCGCACGGGATATCACCATGCATGCCACGCCAACTCTCCTGGTTGACGTGGTGGGGAAGGGAGGTCTCGTTCGGACAGTCCACTTGCGTGGAGGCCTCGGGGCCCCGCCATGCGCATGCCGGTTCGAGCGCGTACTTGGCTGGTGGCGGCGGCACGTAGTTCCGCTCGGCATGAAGAGCTTCCTCGATGAGGCGGGCGCCCCGGGCTAGCTCTTCAAGGGTCTCAAAGGTGCGGTTGACCAGGTAGACGTGGTACCTGGGGTGACACTGTCTTCTGACCCGAGCTACTCTGTCCGACTCCGGTGACTTCGGGTCCGCCCTCTTGAAGAGCTCTTGCATGACCCGAACGTACCGGACCAGACTTTCATCCGGGTGCTGCGTCCTTGCCTCGAGCTCTCGGAGAATCTGCGTCGCGTAGCCTGCAGGCAGGAACTCTTCTCGAAGCCTTGTCTGGAAGTCCGCCAGGCTGGTGAAGGGGGCCTGTGACCCCAACCAGCACCTGGCGCTGGCTTGCAACGCCAGCGGGACAATCCGCTCCACGATGAAGGCTTCCGAGGCACCGGAGGCAAGGTGGTACGTCTGCAGCTCGCCCAGGAAGTCTGCCACGGACTTGACGTCGTTGTACCCCATGTAGACCGGAACAGTCAAGTGTGGTCTGGGCTCTCGCGGTGGGGTTTCCTGCTGGCCAGGCGTGTGGGCCAGGCGCTGCATCACGGAGTCGCACATCTCCGTGACCTTCGTGAGCAAGTTCATTTGTGCTGCTGCGGCCATCGCGGCTTCCTGCTCCCGCGTGAGCATGCCTGCGAGCACAAAAAAAGAAACGCCCCCAAAAACCCAACACAAGCGCGCAAAACGATTGCCGCGTTCACATAGACACGGTCACAAACACGCCAATACAACAAACGTAGACGTGACGGAAGCACGAAACAACGATAGGAAACACGGGGAATATGAAAAAGGCTTACCGAAAGAAGAAACCAAGCCCCGTGAAATTCCTGCGAGTGGGTAGCATACCACGGTTGGGCGCCATTGTGGTCGGTTTGCCTTGCTGCATACCCGACCCGGAGGAATAACACGGAGCCAACGGTTTCAACAACAAGAAACTACATTTAATTGGACATGGACAAGACGATTAACATTGCTACCGGCGCTGCCGGAGTCCAGGCAGCGACTCTCCGTGCGCCGCCTCTGATCTGCCTTATCAAGGCGGCACATCCGATGTGCGCGTGGCTGGCGTGACGTCGCCGCCACGCGGGAAAAGTTCGGCTTGAGCCTCGCAGTCGGGCAACTTGGCTTGGGAGCCGCCAGGGTGCCCACAACGTATGGGAAGGTCTCCCTCCATCTTGATCACGCTAGGAACACAAAAGTCTCCTGGCTGCATCAAGTTTCTCTGTGGGCTCTTCCCTTTCCACGATTATCTGGAAACCAAACAAGCATGCACAAGCTGCTGGGAACTAGGGCATAAAGCGGAAGCCTGCCCGACCCCCAATACTGGTAGGTGCCCGAACTGCGGCGAGATTCACAGCCACCCCGCCAGGGTCGAAGCGGTACGTACGGAATACGACTGCACCCCGCGGTGCCTCATCTGTAATGAACAACATTACACGGGGAGCAGAGTCTGCAAGCAAAAGTATAAAGCTATTCATGAACCTAAGACCCCTCTGAAAAAGCCAACCGCCAAGGAAGAAGATTTTGTGGCACTAACCCCGCGAGCAGACAAAACGACCACCGACCAAACCAAGAACTACTCGCAAGCTCTCCGCAAGCAAGGGGGGGGGGGGGGGGGGGGGGGGGGCAAAGAAGCCTACGGAACAGAACCCTGTCCAGACAGAAATCGAGGCTTCCGCAAAGCTATGAGAGAAGAAAGAACGGTGCTCGAGAAAGAGTGGCGTGAAGAGAAGGAAGCGCTATAGCGTGAAATCCTTGATCTCAGACGTCAACTTCAAAGAGAAACTGGAGCCCCTAGTCGATAATGCCCAAGAAGGGCCTCCGTCTCCAGCGAGACCTCAATGGCCGCACCCCCGACGCCCCAGGTAGAACAGGAAAGCATGCAGGTGGAAGAACGCACCACGAGGAAGAGAGGGCAACGCACAGAATTTGAATGCATTGACGCCTCCGCGGTCACGAACAGCGAGGGGCCCAAGGCACGTCGGGTGGAGTCCAGCCCGGCCTCCGACGCCCTTCTAGAGAGCTTGGCCAAGGCAGTCCACGACATGCAGGAAAGCACAACCAAGAGCATTACAGCTTTTGGGAGCACACTCACAGCATTCGACGAGCGACTCCACAAAATTGAATACATTGGCCTATTACAGCAGTCAGTCAAGAACCAAATGAACCCCAAGCCCGCCACCCAGAATGGAAAGTAACGACTTCCTTGTGGTGTGGCATGTGGAATGCTGGGGGCCTCGGCACAAAAGGTAACTCACTTAAGATGATGATCTCGCATATCACAACCCCTCCTGATGTCCTCAAGATTCAAGAGGCGGACCCCAACTGCGCCCTACCTGGTTATGACCGCTACGGCATGGACTATGACACCTCACGCAAACCCATCTTCACATTCGTCCGGCGAGGTCTGGATGTTCATCCACACGACATTGAGTTGGAGGGGACGGTTAAAGCAGTTACGCTTGAGATCCTCCCGACGCGCAAAAGACAGGAAAGTTTATTCATCAGCTACATATACTCCGCACCAAGGGACCATCACCCATTGCTAGAGGATAATGCTGCCTTGGTCGTGGGAGACTTCAATAAGGACACCGTCAAAGGCAAGGCCATCGTGGAGCTGGCGGAAGCTCCATGATGCGCTCCTCGTAAACGAAATCTCGTGTCCCACCCGGATTGGCAACAGCGTGCGGAAAGACACCAACCCTGACCTAACATATGGGATGAACCTGGACGATGTCTCTTGGCATAACACACGGGAGAACCTTGGCAGTGATCATTATATTATCGAGCTCAAGATATCGTTACCCGGCATGAAGCGCCCTAAACCCCGCGTGCAGGAATGCACAGACTGGGACCTATTCCAACAGAAACGCTCCGAAAGAGGAATGGAGTCAATAGAAGCATGGTATGCAGACGTGTGGACGATACAGCCCAGGCTCCAAAGGAAGTTGAAAATCCCACTCAGGCCAACGCCATCGATTCCAGACTTCATCACATGTTAGAAACTTATCGCTCACCTTACGGCAGGTGGAAAAGTACGGGTTAGCGCTTTCCTAAACTTCGTAAGCGCGCGGCCAGACTTTATAAGGGCATTGAGAGTTACGCCGGGCAAGTGAACCATCAGCGATGGCAGCAACTGTGCAATGAAATACGAGGCCAACTCCACACGAAAAGCCCTTGGCGCATCCTTGCACCAGACGACACAAAGGGCGAGAAGCGCAATCTCCTCACCAGGATCGTGAGGGAGCAGGAGGGAGACATGGCCAGCATCTTTGAAGAGCTCAAGACGAAGTGCTTGTACTCTACTTCAAGTAGCAACACGGGTGACATGGTCTACTCTGGGGAACCAAACGAACGCCTGGACGCTCCCATCACGGAGCACGAACTGAGAAGAGCTCTGGAAGACCTCAAGATCTCATCGGCCCCTGGGGCAGACAAAATCACCGATAAGATGCTGAGGAATCTGGACGACAAATCGATAGGAGTACTCACTTCCTTCTTCAACGAGGTATGGTGCACCCGTCGGCTACCGAAGAGCTTTAAACATGCGATAGTGTGCTTCATTTCGCAGTGCAGCAAACCCCTCAAGATGGAAAATCTCAGACCCATCTCGATTACCTCGTGTGTCGGGAAGTTGCTGGAGCGCATTATACAAGCTAAGAGTCCAAGGCTTCGCGGAGGAGAAGGAACTATTCACGAGCCACATGTTCGGGTTCCGAAAGCACCTCTCTACGCAGGATGTTTTCATTCAAATGAAGGAAGGCGAAAACACCAAAAGATGGACGGCTCTTGCGGCCCTGGATCTAAAGAAAACATTTGATCGCGTCTCACACGAGGCCATCTTGCACCAGGTATCCCAATTGAACCTTGGAGAAGGGACCTTCAATTACATCCAAGACTTTCTATCAGACAGAACGGCCCAAATACAAATGAAAGGCGAAATGTGTGAATGAAGCAAACGTTGGACGGGGAACCCAGCAAGGGGCAGTCATTTCCCCGCTTCTTTTTAACCTGGCCATGCTCCCAATGTCGAAAAGACTGCAAGATATCGGAGGCCTCAGTCACGCAATTTATGCGGACGATGTAACGATATGGACCGCTCTCCGGTCACCGTACATGGGCAACACCATCAAGGCAGGAGCCGACGCGGTTAAAAAGAAGCCGCTGCCATTGGTCTCGAATGTGCGGCGGACAAGTCCGCCTTCCTCCTCAGAGCCCCAAGGCACGGTAGCAGCAACAATGACATAGATTTCTACCTCAACTTACAAACAATTGATATACCACGGGCTACCCAGGTAAATGTGCTTGATAGGGAAATATCGACTGGCAACAAGCAAAGCGACACCATCAGAAAGCTTCGGAAACAGGCGAACAATACAGCACGGTTGATCCGGAGAGTCTCCAGACGCAGCTATGGGCTCAAAGAAAATGGCACCTGCCGGCTCGTCCAAGCCTTCACGCTGAGTAGGATCATGTACGCCGCTCCGTAAATGTACCTGAAGCAATCCGGCAAAACCGCAATAGACACCATCATTCGGAAGTCCTTCAAAACCGCCGTAGGCATCAAACCGGCCACGTCGAATGAGGCGCTCGGACAAATCGGCATTCACAACAGATTTGAGGAGATGTTCCAGACGCAACGGAAGACCCAAGTTCTGCGGCTCCCTAAGACTACCACTGGGAGACAAGTCTTGCGCCGAATGGAAATAACCCCACACCAGGAGAGAGATATCAAGTTCACAATGCCGACAGAGTGGACAGGCAGCATGCGGTGCATCCCACTGCCTAAAAATATGAACTCGGAGCACAACCTAGGACGAAGACTTGCCAGAGCAAAAGCACTCGACAAGCTGCACTCTGGGAAAGAGCACGTGTTCCGTGCGGACGCAGGACCCTAACCCGGCGAACCTGGAAGATATGTAATAGCGGTACATAACTCCCAACGTGACACTGTTGCTACAATCAAGGCAACGGACATAGATCAGAATCAGAATCAGAATCACTTTATTTCGTCTATATGCACAGACGACAGGGGCATGGGCAAAAATCCAACGCATGTTGGCTTGACTGGGCCCCACCCCCGTTTTCTTGACAGAAGCGGATAAGCAAATTGTAAGAAAATGTAAACAAAATCGATAGTTATATAGCAGAAAGACTAGTAAAAAAACATTAAAAAATAACATGTAGACACTTGTAACCGGGAAGTAGAACACTGATATCATGAGGCACAATACAAAAATAAGTGAGCTATAGAAACATAATTTTGATGGCACGAAGTGTTAGTGTTTCTATGGTGAAGTTGTTGCTCCTTAGATTGTTCAATAATGATGGGAGGTGGTGTCTCAACATCCGCGTTCCATAGTTTGTTCTGCTGTATGGTACCTTCCAGACATCCTTATTACGAGTAGAATAAAATTTATACTTCGTGCTAGACCAACGATCTCTTGAAATAAAGGATTGTCCAGTTTAATGCCTGCTGTGTATCTTAAAATTATTGTGTAGTCATACAGGTTTGTAACTGGAATGGTATGCAGAGTCTTAAAAAGGGGCTGTGTATGAGAATCATATGGGGCATTGACGATACTCCGTATGACCTTCTTCTGAGAGACATGAGGATTGTTTATATTGGTTAATTTTGCGGTTCCCCAAACCAGATGACAATAATTTAGATGTGAAGAAAATAAAGAGTTGTATAAAAGGAGTTTAGTTTTTACTAGGAGGTCGAAGCGAAACCTGTTAAAAATGCAAACGGCTTTCGAAATCTTGCGAATGAGACCTTCAATGTGAAAATCCCATGACAGATTTTCCTTAAAAATTACGCCTAGGGTTTTAGTACTAGGTACCAGTTCAATGATGAAGGGCCCAAGAACAAGGTTGTAGTCGAAAAACACACACTCATTCTTCGGTTTAAAGAGCACTGCCTTAGTTTTGGAAGTGTTAATATGAAGAGCTCCATTTGTGAAGCGAGTTAAGAGTATAAGAGTATGATTTGCAACTTGCGCGAGCGTTTCCTTATCTTGAGCAAAAAATAAAAAATAAACTAGTGTCATCGGCATATATAATAAGTTGCCTCCGTACTAATTTTTACAATATAATTGACATATATATATATATTAAAAAGTAGAGGACCCAGTATACTTCCCTGAGGAACACCGGCAGCAAATGACTGTGAACCTGGACGCTGATTGTCGATGACAGCACACTGTTGGCGAAATTCTAAATATGAAGCCACAACGTCAAGAGTTACCCCACGAAAGCCGTAAAACTCAAGCTTTTTAAGTACAGTGATATGATTAATGCGGTCAAATGCCTTAGAAAGGTCCACAACTATACCCTAAGTGGTACACTTTTCTTCAAATGATTTCAAGATTATTTCTTTCTGGGTTAGCAAGGCAAGTTCAGTCGAACGCCCCTTTCGAAAGCCATACTGCGAGGGGGTCAGAATAGATAATTGGTTGCAAAACGAAGAAATTTTGGTGTGGATGGCACTTAGAGAAGACGAGTAAAATGGAGATAGGCCAGTAATTAGATTGATAATTCTTGTCGCCACCTTTAAAAGTAACCACCACCTTGGCAATTTGCATTTGACGCGGAAAAGTACCCGAAGAAATTGCAACATTGTAAATGTGAGATAATACCGGTGCTAATAAGTCCAGAACGTATTTGACAGGCCTAATTTGAATATCGTCAATGTCACTTGATTTACCATTTTGGATGGAATTGAATGTACTGAAAACTTCGTATTCGTCAGTAGGGTGAAAAAAGGCACTGCTTTCATTGCGAGTTTCTAGGTCGCTTGTCGACAGAGGGTTATGACTGCTATGAACGCTGTTAGCGAAATAGTTGTTAAACGATTTCGCGAGTTCTTGTCCGCGCAATATTTTATCGCCAATTTTAATTTCTAGAATGCTATTGTTTTCAAGAGATCGATTTAGGAGTTGATTTACTATTTTCCATGTTTTGTCTACTCTTGACATTGTGGCTTCATTAAATAAAGAGAGCAAATAATTTTTCTTTGCTTGCCTAAGCATTGTAGTCAGTCTATTTCTATGTGTCTTGAACTTTTTAAATCACCAGGCTTCCTAGTATTTATGAATTTATGGTATAATTTATTTTTCATACGAATCCTCCTGAGACATTCTTGGGTTACCCACGGCTTATGAGCGTTTTTTTTTTTTTTTTTTGGATTGGTTTATAG